TGAAGTATAGTTGATTTAAGATTGTTTTAAAGTTCCAAAAGAATATTTATTAAATACAGAAAAATAGAAATGATTTTCTAAAGAATCCAAAGCCCCTTTATCTGAATCCAACCACTGTTAGTATTTTGTTATTTTTACTTCCAGTCTTATTTCTGTGCAAAACTTTATTTATTGAAAAAGAAAAAAAAATAGGAACAGAAAAAGCTCAACACATATAGAACATTTTTCTCATCTGTTAGTTTCACTTAGCATTGGGGTCAGAGGCATTTTCTCATGGCATTATAACTTCTCTGTAAATTTTTTTTAACATCTTTATTGAAATATAATTGCTTTACAATGGTGTGTTAGTTTCTGCTTTATAACAAAGTGAATCAGCTATACATATACATATATCCCCATATCTCCTCCCTTTTGCATCTCCCTCCCACACTCCCTGTCCCACCCCTCTAGGCGGTCACAAAGCACCAAGCTGATCTGCCTGTGCTATGTGGCTGTTTCTGTTGTATAGCAAAGTGACATCTTTTTCGTATTCTTTTCCATTCTGGTTTATCACAGGATAATGAATGTAGTTCCTTGTGCTATATACAGTAGGACCTTGTTTATCCATTCTGTATGTGATAGTATGCATATGCTAATCCCAAACTCCCAATCCTTCCCTCCCCGACCCCCACCCCTTACTAACAACCACAAGTCTGTTCTCTATGTCTGTGAGTCTCTTTCTGTTCCGCAGATATGTTCATTTGTGGTTTTTTTTTTTTCTTTTTTGGCCACACCACACAGCATGCGGGATCTTATTTCCCTCACCAGGGATCGAACCCGTGCCCCCTGCAGTGGAACCACAGATTCTTAACCACTGGACCGCCAGGGAAGTCCTGTGTTGTATTTTAGATTCCACATGTAAGTGATATCATATGGTCCTTGTCTTTTTCTAAGTTACTTCGCTTAGTACGGTAATCTCTAGGTCCATCCATGTTGCTGCAAGTGGCACTATTTCATTCTTTTTTATGGGTAATATTCCATTGTGTGTCTTGGCAATTGTAAATAGTGCTGCTATAGGGGGTGCATGTATCTTTTTAAATTATAGTTTTGTTTGGGTGTATGTCCAGTAGTGGGATTGCTGGATCACATGGCAACTCTATTTTTAGTTTTTTGAGGAACCTCCATACTGTTTCCCATAGTGGCTGCACCAATTTCTGTTCCCACCAACAGTGTAAGAGGGTTCTCTTTTTTCCACCCTCTCTCCAAAATTTATTATTTGTAGACTTTTTTTCTTTTTCTTTTTTCTAGCCGCACTGTGCAATATGCGGGATCTTAGTTCCCCAGCCAGGGATCGAACCTGTGCTGCCTGCAGTGGAAGCACGGAGTCTTAACCACTGGACCATCAGGAAAGTGCCCTTGTAAACTTTTTAATGATGGCCATTCTGATTGGTGTGAGGTGGTACCTCATTGTAGGTTTTTCTTTATGTATAATTAATTTTTATTGCAGTATGGTTGATTTACTGTAGTTTTGATTTGCATTTCTTTAATAATTAGCGATGATGAGCATCTTTTCATATGCCTATTGGCCATCTGTATGTCTTCTTTGGAGAAATGTCTATTTAGGTCCTCTGCCCGTTTTTCAATTGGGTTGTTTGTTTTTTTGTTATGGAGTTGTATGAGCTGTTTGTATATTTTGGAAATTAATCCCTTGTTGGTTGCATCATTTGCAGATATTTTCCCCCGGTACATAGGTTGTCTTTTCGTTTTGTTTATGGTTTCCTTTGTACAGAAGCTTGTAAGTTTGATTAGGTCCCATTTGTTTATTTTTGCTTTTATTTCTATTGCCTTGGGAGACTGACCTAAGAAAACATTGGTACAATTTATGTCAGAGAATGTTTTGCCTATGTTCTCTTCTAGGAGTTTTATGGTGTCATCTCTTATATTTAAGTCTTAAGCCATTTTGAGGTGTTTTTTTGAGTATGGTGTGAGGGTGTGTTCTAACTTCATTGATTTACACGTGGCTGTATAACTTTTCCAACACCACTTGCTGAAGATACTGTGTTTTCCCCATTGTATGTTCTTGCCTCCTTTGTCAAAGATTAATTATCTATAGGTGTGTGGGTTTATTTCTGGGCTCTCTATTCTGTTCCATCTGTTTTTGTGCCAATACCACTCTGGTATCTTTTTTTTTTTTTTAAATTTTTTGGCCATACTGCACAGATTGTGGGATCTTAGTTCCCCAACCAGGGACTGAACCCCTGCCCCCTGCGGTGGAAGCATGGAGTCTTAACCACTGGACTGCCAGGGAAGTCCAATACCACACTGTTTTGATTACCATAGCTTTGTAGTACTGTCTGAAGTCTGGGAAGGCAATGCTTCCTACTTTGTTCTTTTTCCTAAGGATTGCTTTGGCAATTCTGGGTCTTTTATGCTTCCATATACATTTTAGGATTATTTGTTCTAGTTCTGTGAAAAATGTCATGGGTAATTTGATAGGGATCGCATTAAATCTGTAGATTACTTTGGGTAGTAAGGCCAGAAAAATGAAAGTTTTTAAGGAAACTTTAGTTTATCCTAGAGTAGCCATTTGGGGAAAAAATTAAATTGGATCCTTTCTTCATTTATTACAGCAAAATTAATTCCAGGCGACTGAAAGATTTAAATATAAGAGTACTAGAAGAAGACACGAGATTTAAAAACATACTTACCAGGGGAATTCCCTGGCAATCCAGTGGTTAGGACTCTGCGCTTTCACTACCAAGGGCGCGGGTTCCATCCCTGGTCAGGGAACTAAGATCCTGCAAGTTGCACAGTGTGGCTGTAAGTAAGTAAGTAAGTAAATAAATACTTATCAGAGTGGGGAAAAATAATAAATGTAACTACATAGAATATTTGCATGGCAAAAAAAGAACAAATGGGAGAGGGAGGATGATGTTTGCAACAGTACAAGAGTTGATTTCCTTGAACTTTTAGAACTTGGCCATTAAGCAGATAGGGCCGGGCTTCCCTGGTGGCGCAGTGGTTGAGAGTCCGCCTGCCGATGCAGGGGACACGGGTTTGTGCCCCGGTTCGGGAAGATCCCACATGCCGCGGAGCGGCTAGGCCCGTGAGCCATGGCCGCTGAGCCTGCGTGTCTGGAGCCTGTGCTCCGCAACGGGAGAGGCCACAACAGTGAGAGGCCCGCTTACTGCAAAAAAAAAAAAAAAAAAAAAGAAGATATGGCCTCAGAAAAATAGGCAAAGTGTATAAATAGCTCCAGAGAAGCAAAAAATAAATGACTAATAAAACATGAAGAGATGTTTAACCTTATTCATAGGGAAATGCAAATTAAGTTTGGTAAGCACTTGCCAGGGTGTGGGGGAAATGGACTCTCAGACATGGTGTGAGTGTCAATTGATGAACCTCATAGAGGGCAACTTGACTGGGCAGTTCTACTCCTGGGTATTTATCCTGTAGATTTGGTTACAAATATGTATGAAATGCTTTTCATACAGGGATATTCCTTTCAGTGTTGTTTGCCGTAGCAAAATGTTGGATACTATCAAGGTTCTGGCTAAATATACCCATGGAACGTCTGCCCTGCAATGAAAGACTGGAGAATGAGACAACTCCAAGTGCACTGATACAGAACATTCCTCAATATATAAGTGAAAAAACAAACTGCAGAACAGTGGATTCCATTGTATCTTATTATACATATATATATGTGTATATATGTATATGTATATATGTATTATCAAGTGCGCACACACACACACACACACACACACACACACACACACACACACTTGAGGGAGTTCCCTGGCAGTCCAGTGGTTAAGACTGCACTTCCACTGCAGGGGGCACGGGTTCGATCCCTGGTCAGGGAACTAAGATCCCACATGCCACATGGCGCGGCCAAAAAAAACCCAACAAAACATACACTTGAGCATGCATAGAATATTTTATGAAGGACACATGAGAAACTGATAATAGTGGTTGTCTCAAGGAAGGACCCAGGTTGCTGGGGAATAGGGGTGGTACCCTTTGGTACCTTATGAATATTGTACTGTATGCATTTTTTATTAGCCAAAATAATTTTAGGATTAGGCAAAACAAACAAACAAACCAAAAACAAGAAAGGACTTCCCAGGTGGTGCAGTGATTAGGAATCCGCCTGCCAATACAGGGCACACAGGTTCGATCCCTGGTCCGGGAAGATCCCACATGCTGCAGAACAACTAAGCCTGTGCGCCACAACTACTGAGCCCACGTGCTGCAACTACTGAAGCCTGTGCGCTCTAGGGCTCACGCGTCGCAGTGAAGCCCATGCACCTAGAGCCTGTGCTCCGCAACAAGAGAAGCCACCAAAATGAGAAGCCCGTGCACCGCAACGAAGATTAGCCCCCACTTGCGGCAACTAGAGAAAGCCTGCGCGCAGCAACAAAGACCCAATGCAGCCAAAATATACATAAAATTTTAAAATTAAAGAAAAAAACAAGAAAAATAAAAAGTGCATTCATTCAGCCAGACATGAACTCCCTCCTATGACAATTATGTATCACTTTCATGTCCTGTTTTCTGAGGTTTCTTTTCTCCACAATAAAATTGTGAGCTCTTCCAGGACAAGAACCTGCATAGCTGGGGGCTCAATAAATATTAAAAACTGACAAAAAGAACCCTCTGAGGTGTGCTATCTCTCCCATCGAATTCCTTCAAATTCTTCTCAGTGCCTTCCCTGCCACAGAGTCATTCTATAGATTACATTTGGATGTTGAATCCAGACATCATGCCTGCTTATAGGTAACTTTAGCGGGACCAGTTGGGTAGGAGAGGTTGGGAGTATGTCTGCAGATCTAGCCTGGGATGACTTGCTTGCCAGGTCAGTTGGGGATGACGAACTCCTAACCTTTCTGATTCTATTCTCACTCACAAATCTGGGTTAAGGGAGGCGGTCTCTTTAAGAACTGTTGTGATGGTCCCGCCCTTTAAAGAGATCAGCTGAATCTGTGAGTCACATGATTTCAGCGTCTCTTCCGCCTTCTGAAGTCGGGACTGCAAGAGAAGCTATGAGGAGCGCCGTGCTCCTCCTGAGCCTACTTCTGACAGCAGCTCCGTTTGGCCTTCTGGGGGAGGAGACCCGCCAGGTGAGGGGCTAGAGCAGTAGGTGTTTCAGGATATGCTACCTTGAAGGGTGGTTGGAAACTAGGGCAAACAATTGGTGGGGGTGGAGTGTGCTTGCATTGACAAAAGAGTTTTTCAAACTGGGGGTCGGAGCAGCCATGGGTCACGGGACAGGATTGTGGAGTAGGGTGGATGTGAGAGCTTCCTGTCTTCTGGTGAAACCTGGACCTTGACTTAGCCCTGAGTGAGCCAGGTCCAAACAAGTGTTGGATTTCTTTCTTCCTCTCAGCCCTGTGCCCTGATCTCTCCACCAGGGTCAAGGCAGTTCTGGCTCTACCCACCTCTCCTCCACCCCACCTCTGCCCTTTACAAGAAGGTTCTGTTAGCTCCCACAAGCATTCCTCTTGCCTAGGCCCCCAAGGTCCTACCCTTTCCTCATCATTTTCCAAGGCCCCTCTCCTTATCCCCAAACTTCTTTGCTCTGTGTCTCTCCCTGATCCTGTTTGCTTGACCCTCCACTGCTCCATGTTCCAGGTGTCTCTGAAGGTCATCTCTGACTGGCTGGACCCTTCCCAGAACCTGCTTCATATCCAGGCAGTGGGTGCCACTTCCACCCTGCACTATGTGTGGAGCAGCCTGGGACCCCCAGCCGTGCTGCTGGTGGCCACCAACACCCCCAGCAGCACCCTGAATGTCAACTGGAGCCTCCTGATTTCCTCTGAGCCTGACGGGGGCATCATGGTGCTCCCCAAGGAGAGCATCCAATTTTCTTCTGCCCTCGTCTTTACCAGGGTGAGGAGGTTGGGGGAGAACCAAGGGGAGGAGTGCAGAGGAGAGGGTTCATTCGAGTTAGAGGGAGAAACTGAAGACTGGGGGTAGGTGAAGTCGAGTCAGGTATGAGAGCCTGGGGTGGGGCCAGTGAACGGGTGGTGGTGGTGATTCAGGAGAAAGCTGGACTCAGGCAAGCTTAGTCCCTCCCCACCCCCACCCGCCAGCTGTTTGAGTTTGACAGCACCAACACATCCGATGCAGCCGCAAAGCCTCCAGGAAAATCATATCCCCCATACTCCTTGGCCGATTTCTCCTGGGACAACATCACTGACTCATTGGATCCTGCCACCCTGAGTGCCACATTTCGAGGCCACCCCATTCACGACCCCATTGGGGCTTTTGCCAGTGGCAGCCTGGCCTTCAGGGTAAGGGTATGGGGAATCAGAACTCAAAAGGCTGGTTTACGAGGGTGGGAGTTAATGATGGGGGTCGCCTTCAAACACAGGCATCCACCTGCTTCCCACACCTCCCATGCCTCTTCCATCCTAGGTTCAGGCCTTCTCCAGATCTGGCCGACCAGCCCAACCCCCTCGCCTCCTGCACACAGCGGACACCTGCCAGCTAGAGGTGGACCTGGTTGGGGCCTCTCCCCGGGGAAACCACTCCTTGTTTGGGCTGGAGGTAGCCACGTTGGGCCATGGCCCTGACTGCCCCTCAGTGCAGGAGCAGCACTCCATCGATGATGAATATGCACCTGCCGTCTTCCAGGTCAGGCTTCCAGCAGAGAAGCAGATGGGTGTGGGGTGAAGGGGGACCCCATTAGGACCTCAGAGAATCATTCAACCATTTACCATTTAGCAACACTTCACTCAGCTCCTTTAAGTGCTGGGCACTGTGCTAATGAATTAGCCCAGTCTCTGCTCTCAGTGGAGGAGCCAGAGGGAAGGCGGTACAGTGTGACTAGTGCTCTGACAGATGGGATTTGCAAGGGCCCGGGGGCCCAAAGGAGGGAGCTGAGTGCAGGCTTGCTGAGTGTTGAGGCTGGAAAAGGACCCAGTGCCATCCAGTCCAGCTCCCCTTTCTACAGAGGAGAGATCGATGCAAACAGCCTGTGAGTTCTAGAACCAGGCCTAGGATTCAGGACAACTCGTGACAGACAGAGGCTGGGAAAGGGTGGGGGAACAGAAAGGTCGGGCACCACTGGTCCTCCTCATCCTGCCTGTTTGCCTTTCTCCCCAGTTGGACCAGCTGCTATGGGGCTCCCTCCCATCAGGCTTCATGCAGTGGCGACCAGTGGCTTTCTCTCAGAAGCAGGGGGGCCGGGAATCAGCCATGCCCTGCCAAGCTTCCCCTCTTTACCCCACCTTGGCATACCTTCTCCCCCAGTCACCCATTGTCCGAGCCTTCTTTGGGTCCCAGAACAACTTCTGTGCCTTCAATCTGACATTTGGGGCTTCCACAGGCCCTGGCTACTGGGACAAACACTACCTCAGCTGGTGAGAATCAGGGCCTGGGCCAAGGGTTTGGGAGGTCGAAGTGGAGGAGGGTTGGGCCTCTCGGCCTTCCCCCCTAAGCCTGCTCACCTCTCTTTCTCACTCTGCTCGCTCTAGGTCCATGCTCCTGGGTGTGGGCACCCCTCCAGTAGATGCCTTGTCCTCGCTAGTCCTAGGCATCGTGGCAGTGGTCCTGGGTGCTCCAGCGCTCATGCTGCTGGCAGGAGGCGTGTTTCTGCTGCTGGGCCACAAGCGGTACTCAGAATATCAGCCTATAAATTGAGGCCTGCTCTCTAGAGGGAAGGACATTACTGGACCTGCCTTGCTGGTCTGCAGGTTTGAGGGTCAGTATTCCTAGCCAGCTGCTCCCTTTTCGCATCTTGCTTTTCTGCAGAACCTTAGAGACCAGCCTCAACTTCCTGCGGACCCAGGTGGGGCTTCCTTCAAACTTTGAGGAGGGACCAGGGACAGAGTGATTGCTAGAGGGAGGGTCCCCTCCACGTTGCCTCCCCGCCCCTCCACCCCCCCATTTCCCTTGAATGGGACTCACAGGTCTAAATGAGAGGCCTTCTGACTTGTCTGCTACTCTGGAGGGCATGAAATAGACTAAGTTTTTCCCCAGGGCTTGTCTCTCAGTGTGTGAGTGTTGCTGGGTCTGGTTCCAGGGAATGAGAGGGCTGGAGGTGGCCATGGAAGACAATTTCTTGTTTGCAGCGCCATTTCTTCCCCAGGCCCAGTTCTCTCCCTTGCCACGGGACCAGGCTCCTGCCAGCCACTCTTCAACATGTGGAGCTGGGAGGTCTCTGGTGCAGTCTGAATCAAACAAGGAAGGGACACTTGAGACGGCGCAAACACGAAGGAAGAGCCAAGGAAGACAGTGGTAGTTGTTTATTGTTACACACACATTCACATGGGGTTAACATCAACCACTATGTCTTCCAACCACTCCCAGCCACCACAGGTGTGGGTGTGTGTGCGCACGCGCGCGCGCACACACACACACACACACACACACACACAAACACACACACAAACACACACACGCCTCTTGGGAGGCAGGTTTCCCTGTCTGCTCCTCTTCCCATGAGAGAGGTATGACTTCTGGGCAGTTTGGAGGTGCAAGGTTACAGGGACCTAAAGGGTTGGAAGGGAGGAGGCAGCCACACTGGATTGGGACAGCTGTAATTGACTTGACTGAGGCTCAAGAGCCTATATGGCCAGTCACGGAGGGTCCTGAATACAGGTCCCCAAGAAGGTTTTCACCAAACGTGAACGTCCTATTTGAGCTGATGGCCAGCCATTACCTTTAGGCATGGGCAAGGTTTCTAGTCTCTTTGAGGCCCTCTGCTTGGACACCCAGCACAGAAATGGTCAGAGTTTTGGCTGTGGCTCTGCTGGCTGCCTTACAGGAGGCTGGAGAGTGGAGCAGAGTCCAGCCATTGTGGGCCCTAGTGGCAGTGGTGGGAGGCTGCTCAGGAAGGAACCATGCCTCTGCTCCTGGTCCTGTGCCCTCAGCATCCTTAAGGAATATGGCTGTCCACCTCTTTCCCTGAAAGAATGTCTGAGTCCCTCCCGCCTAATTGTCCCAGGCTCCAAAGGTGAAGGGGAGTGCCCCAACTTGGAGAGCAGGGGACAGTCCAGGCTCTGATTGGATGGGACCCCGGTCGGGGCAGTAGGTGGGTTCATCCCACCCAGGTACCAGGGCTGGGAGCAAGGGGGTGGGGCGGCTTAGCCCCAGGAGCGAGGCCTGTAGTCTGAGGCTGAGCGGGCGTGGTCAGGGTAGTCCAGGCGGCTCTCAGAGGCAGTGAGCATGCGTTCGGGCTCCACCACGAACATATAGTAGAGGTTCCACACCAGCATGGACAGCAGGGGCAGGAATGTCAGGCCGTAGCCAAAGCCTCGGAAGGAGCGGCCCACGGCAAAGGTCAGCCAGTATATCAGCCTGGAAGGCAAGAAAAGATCGGGCTTTCCTTGAGAGGAGTACATGAGCTAACTGGCGACAGGCTGGTGATGGGGAGAATACAAAGTGAAGGCAGTGGCTGGGTGTTGGTCAGCACAACTGATACCTCTAAAGACAGCCAGTGTTTATGTACTTACCATGTGCCCGGCATGGTACCAATTACTTTAGGGGCAATGTTTAATTTAATTTAGACCCCCGCATCTCTATGAAGTGTGAATATTATTCACCTCCCTCTTTGTGTACTTTTCAAAATTTAATTAAAAAATTTTGAGTAGGCAGTATACATTTACATGGTTCAAAATTCAAAGGTACCAGTGAGTATAGTAAAATGTCTTCCCTTACTGATTCCCAGATACCCTATTCTCGTCCTTCACCTTCTCACCTCTGTTCCACTCCCACCCCAGACATCCAGTATTATGGTTTCTTGTACATCGTGATGTTTTCTTTACATATGAGCGAAAAGATTTATGTTTTCCTTTTCCCTTTTTTTTTGGAAGTTTGGTAGCATACTAAATATAGAGATTGTTCTGCACGTTGATTTTTTCCCCCTCATTTAATGTATCTTGGAGATTGTGTTATATTAGTATATAAACAGCTTCATTATTTCACAGCTGCAGTACATTCCATTGTATTTACTTCCCTTTTGCAGATGAAGAAACTAAGATTCCAAAAGGGTTAAGTAAGACCGGTCCAAAGTCACACATTGGGGAAATAGTAAAACCATGGTTTGAACCCATGCCTGTTCATCACCCCATCTCCTGCCCCTCAGGGAAAGGAGAGAGTAAGGAAACCAGCTTCAAGAGAGCTTGAAGCCCAGAGGGATGGACTAGGCACAACCAAATTTCCTCTCTTGGAAGATCCATTCAAAATACACACTCCTCAGTGGCGGGAGGGCAGCAGCTTCCTCTTAATATATGAAGGATCACTTATTACAAAATTGTGATGTCTCTATTTTTTTTTACCTGGGAAACGGAGGAAAGAGTAACTGCTCCTTTTCTACTGCACCGGGAGGCAGCATGATAATAACATAAAAGTGCACATTTAGTGAACACTTACCAAGTACTAGACTGTTGCAAGCACTCTACATGAATTAACTAACTCAATCTTCGCAATAACTCCATTTTACAGATGATGAAACTGAGGCACAAAATACTTAAGTAACTTGCCCATGGTACGGAAGAAGGACCCTGGATGAGAGAAGGAAGGGACCTGGGTTCTAGTCCTGCCTCTGCTGCTGACTGACCTATGCGACTCTTCTCCCCCCATCTGTAGTCACTTTCTCTCTGTAAAATGGGTAAGATGGATCAGACGATTGCTGGTCCTTTAGCTCCCTGATGATTCTTGGGGCTTAAACCAACTTCTGTCTGAGACCAGCATTCCCCGAGAGGGAGATGGGAGGTTGAGTTACATGAGCAGGAACATATTTATCTTGGGAAACATCTACTGGGAGAACTTGCAGGGCTGCAGGATGGTCAGGAGGCTGGTGGGACAAATGACCACTAGACTACAGTCAGAAGTGACAGGAAGACAGATTTAAGCTAAATAGGAAGAATGCTTCAGCAGTTAAAGCTACCTGGAATGCTATATGGAAAGTAACAAAAGGAAACGTATTAGGGGAAAAAATGGAAAGGCCTGCATTTGGCTTCAGAAATTCCAAGGTGCCTTCTGGGTTAACAGTAGTTCATGTGAAAACACCCCTAAGGATTTCAGGTGCCTACAAATTCTCAATGAAAGCAGAGTAATGAGGCTGCCATGAGACCTGTGTGGCCTTGGCTTGTATGAACAGGACAATACCCTTGACCAGCCCCCATCCCTCCCATCTGACAGGAGAATTTCCTGCCTAGAGGGAAGGACACAGGATAGTGGAGGGACCAGGGCCATTTAGCAAAGTAAACACTGGGGAAGCAGAGTGTCGGAGTGGGGGAATTGAGAGCTGTTTCCAAAGATCTGAATTTGTCTAGGCAATTACAGAGGCCAGAGTCAGGGCAGCAGTTTTTAGCACAATATAAAAAAGGACTTTCTAATAATTAGGACTTCTGAAAAATGAAACAAGACTTGCCTTATAAAGAACTAAGCACTTGGTCACAGGGGCTGTTCAACCAATGTTCAGCCAATGGCCACCTGACCAGAGTGCCACAGAGGAGTGGCTGCAAGGGGTGGGAGGTTGGTCTAGGTGATACCTGAAAGCCTTTCCAGTTCTAGGTTGATACATGTATCTTATGAAAGCCATATGAGCTGATCACCTGCTACCAGGTGAGGTAAAGTGCAAGGAAGAAAGTGACTCAACTTTCCGGGGTGCACATTTGGGCTGATGCAGAATCCAGAAAGCTCCCTGGCTCTCCAGACATTCAGATGCCTGGGCCTCTTGAGCACCAGCACCTCCCTCTGCCCCACCCCCAGCCCCAGCTCACCGGGAGATGGCGAAGAGACCAGTGAGCAGAGGGAGCAGTTTGAGGGTGTCTTGGGGCAGGTAGGTGGAAAGCACGGCCAGGTTGAAGAAGTAGAGGATGAAGAGCTGGACCGACTGGGCCACGTATCGCCGGTGGATCTCCACCTCCCGCCGTGGCTCCGCAAAGGGCCGCAGGGCAGAAAAGCACAACAGGCTCAGCCCGTACACCAGGATCCCTGGGTAGGGTTGGAGGACACATAGGGTCAGGAGAGGAGCGGCAGGCAGGAAGCTGGAGGCAGGGTTCGTAGCAGAGAGCTCATGGGCATGGGCTCTGCACCGTGGGTGGGGCTGAGGTGGTCCTGGGAGGAGGTGGGCACACAGGGGTGACAGGGTGTGGGAGGCCCTGAGGGTCCAGGTCTAGTGAAGGGAAACTCCCCTGCTCCCCAAGCCAGGCAGGCCCTGCCCTCCAGCCGAGCTCCCACATGCCCCCTCCCTTCTTGCAGGGCCCAGGCTCACCCAGTACAATGGGGAAGGTGGCAAAGACCCCGCAGCGCAGCGTGTAGATGAGGCGGGAACTCATGGTCGGCAGGCGCGGGGCATCGAAGGGCAGGAAGGCATATGCCCCATAGAGCAGGCAGGGGAAGAGGATGAGGGCGGCTCCCACCGAGGCCATGGCCCTCAGCCCCTCATGGCCTCCACGTCCCCTGCAGCACCCACAGGAGTACCCAGGCGGCCTCACCACTGCCTCGGCCCACTTGCGCTCCGGGGGCTCAGGGTGGGTGGCCCGGGTGGGCAGGAAGGTCTGGCGGCGCTCACCCTCGCTGGCCTCACAGCACACAATGAGGTCTTCCTGGGGCCGCCGCTCAATGCACTGTAGGTCGATGGGCACGAAGGCCCGGGCCACCTTCTCGGGCAGCAGGTTGGCATCATCTTCGGGCAACTCCTCTAGCTTGGTGGGTGGCTCTGACTTAAGGGGCTCAGGCTCAATGTTCCTCCAGCCAGGGGGATCTGAGAACGGGGCACTGGGCTGGGGGCCAGTCCCCCAGGGCAAGGTGGCAGCCTCACTTACTGTGCTGTCTAGACCATCCTCCGTCCCTTCTCCGGCTGTGGGAGACCCAGCTGAAGATCCCGCTCTGGAGGACTCAGCTCCAGGGGACTCAACCCCATCTTCCCCTTCCAGCTTCCGGCCATTGGGGACCAAAGCCTGGGGTGGGCTCTTCTCCAGGGCCTCCGGCCCCTTCACTTCCAGCAGGGCCAGGGTCTCGGGTTCTGTCATCCTGGGGCTTCACTTCTGGGGTCTACCGCAAGGTCATGTCACCCTGGAGGGAGTAAAGTTCTTTCAGAAGTTGCAGTCCTCTGGCCCTCAGGAAGGGCTGACAGAACAGGAAGTCTCCAGGGCAGCCGGCCTCATGGACTTTAGTCCTTTCTGGGACCTTAGGGAGAACATGGTCCGGAGGAAGGTGTTGAAACAGAGGGAGGCAGGAGGGAAGTGAGAGCTGAAATGGAGGCACCCTTTCGACATCAAATGTTATTCAGCAGGAGAGGGTGAGTCAGGGGGCACAGGTGCTGGCAGCTGTGGCCTCAGCCAGCCTCCACCCACGCCTTCTACCCCCTCCACCAAAACCCCTGGGGTCATGGCCACCCTAATGCAGGAATGGGAGGAAAAGGAGAGGTCTAGAATTTTGCCAAGGATTTTATTCCCACTAAGGATATTCTTGTGGGACAGAGAAGCTGCCCCTTCACCTCCACACCTCCCATTCCCCTGCAGATCCCCAACTGGAACTCTCCTGGCAACTGATACCAACGATTTGCCAAGAGATCTGTCCCAAGGAGCTGGCAACAGCAGTGCATCCTGTTCTTTTGTCACCAATCTGGATACCTGGTCAGTTTCCAAACTTCTCAGTAACCCACCCACAACGTCTCCGGAGGGCCTGAGTCTGTTCATTCTGATCTCTAAGTCTAATCAAGACTGTTTCCCATGCCTCCTCTCTGGTCTTTCTTCCCTCTCTGCCGCCTTCCATCTCACTGCTTCTGGATGGGGCTGATTCCCCTCTCTCCACCTCCTCAAGGACCTCCTAACCCTTAGTGTTTGGATCCATGACACCCACTTACTTTCCATCTGGAGAGAGGTAGAGGGTCCCCAGTGTCCGGGAAGGAGCTGCCCAGCTCCCTGCTGGCTCTGCGAGTATTCCTCTCAGTCTCCCTCCCTTTACCTGTGTCTCCAAACCAGTCTGACCAGAGCAGGTGCGGCCCAGTTTAAAGGGGCAGGCCCCGCCCTGCTGAATCTGCCGACAGAAAAAGCATTAAAGGAGGACGTCATCCTTTCTGAAAGTGGGGGTGCAGCTGATCATAGAGGTAAGTGTGTGTCCTAGCAACATGGGATGCGTAGGAACCCTCAGCACAGGAAAGCAAAGGAGGAAGAAGTGGGTTTGGGCATCAGAGGGTGCTTGGAGTAGATTGGGATACCCAAAAAGAGGTTGAATTTCTACACTTATTCATTCAATATTTATTGAGCACCTATTATTAGCTAGGCACAGACACAGGAAAGAGCAAGATGACAGGCAAAGTGTCTGTGCTTGGGACTTCCCTGGTGGCGCAGTGGTTAAGAATCCGCCTGCCAATGCAGCGTGCACGGGTTCTATCTCTGGTCTGGGAAGAGCCCAGATGCCACGGAGCAACTAAGCTCGTGTGCCACAACTACTGAGTCTGTGCTCTAGAGCCTGCGCGCCTAGAGCCTGAGCTCCACAACAAGAGAAGCCACCGCAATAAGAAGGCCGCACACCACAACGAAGAGTAGCCCCTGGAAGAGCAGCCCCGCTCCCTGCAACCAGAGAAAGCCAGAAAGCCCACGTGCAGCAACAAAGACCCCACGCGGCCAAAAAAAAAAAGCCTCTGCGCTTAAAGAGCTTGTTCTTTTGGGATAACAGATAATAAAGAAACCTAGCAACTAAACCAATATGACAATTTCAGTAGGGAAAACCTCTTTGCCAGAATGATATTTGAGCTGAGACTTGATGGGAAATCAGGAGAACGAGTGTTCCAGGCAGAGAAACAGCAGGTGAAAGGCCAATAAGTGGGAAAGACAGGTTGTTTCAGGAACAGAAAGAAGGTCGCTGTCTGGAAAAGGAATTTATGTTCCCATTACAGCGGTACACAGGTCCCCTGAACACCTTGCCTTTTAGGTTAGGTTTAAGGTTTAAGAAAGCAATTGGAATCCAAGGTGATCTTTCCGGGGGCAGAAATGCTTAAGGGTGTACCTTCTCAGTCCTGTGGATCTTTTCCCCTGAAGTTATTTGAGCTTTGTGAGGGCAGGGACAGTGTCTGGATTGCTCATCTCTGTGTCTCCAGAACCCAGCATTGTGACTGGAGGACAGCAGGTGTTCAATAAATGTTTGCTGGACTGGTGAGAGATGAGCATGCAAGTGGAAATCTTTGGGTTGGGGTGCGGGAGCTGAAGGGCCGAGGTGCCTGTACAAGAGTCCTGTATTGGAGGGCCTTACTCTTACGCTATGCTTGACTCTTTCCAAGAAAATTTTCACATACACGTTTTTTGTTTGTTTAAATAATGGAAAAGGGAGAAGTGGAATCACCCTAACTAGTAATCTGAAAGGGGCTCGGCTCAAATGTGGCGGGGGTGCGGGCAGAAGGATGGACCAAATGACCACCGTCGGACAAAGCAAAGTCATACTCCTAGCTGTGAGTCCATCTGCCTGGATCCAGCTTAGCCTCAGCTCCCCCGCAGAGTTCACTGTTCGTTCTCTGGCAGCTTTGTCAATAAAGTTTTTCGCAAGGGCTTGCAGAAGCCAGAAAGATGCCATGCTGCCCACAGTTAGTTCTGGCAACTTCCCGGGAGGGAAAACGAGTTTCGCGAGATTTGGTAGTGGCAGGCCACTGGCCCGCAACTTCCAGCTGGTATCGCGAGATTTGGCAGGCGGAGGAGGAGCTGTCGCGGGCAGCTGCCTCGCAGCTATGGCGGCCGAGCAGGGCCGGCGGCGGTGGTGGCTGAGGCTACGGTCGGAGACGGCAGTGGTGGCGGTAGCGGTAGGTGGCGGGGGTCTGTGACCGGGATCCGCCCCCGGGCCCGGGCACCATGAGCCAAGGCCCCCCCACAGGGGAGAGCAGCGAGCCCGAAGCAAAGGTCCTCCACACTAAGCGGCTTTACCGGTGAGAGGGGCCGGGGTGTGAGTGCAGCCGCCAAGGGAAGTGGGGGGGACAGCGAGGGGCGGGGCCTCCCGGGCGGGCGGGCTCTGGTGCCGGGCTGGGGTGCGGGCGAGGGAGGGGGGGGTGCAATTTTGGAGGGAGAAGAGGGGTCGGGGCCCCGTAACGCTGGATTGAGCAGAAAGAAGGAATTGGGTGGGTGGGAGGTTGGGAGGGAAGCACGTGGAGGGATACCTCCCGCAGTGAGCTTGGGGCGGGCACCGAGCTTTGCGGATTTGGGGTAAGAAGGTGGGAATTGGGGACTGCAGGGGTTGGGAAGGTGAGGGTGGGGTCACAGATAGGAGAAGAACCCGGAAGGGAATGGTGCTTAGAACCCTGTAAGGACTTAACAGGGAAGAGCCCTGGACTGAAATCAAGAGAGCCAGGTTCAGCTCCTTGCTTTGCCATTCTCTCACCGTTTAACCTTGGGCCTCAGTTTTCTCATCCTTAAAAGGAGAGATTTGGATTTGATAGGCTTTGAGGTCCCTTATGGCTCTAAGTTTTGGGAATCGGAATGAAAAGAAAGAGGCTGGAAGACTATTTGTGTTGGACTGGAAGGGCGGTGAAGGACTTTGAGTCCAGAATGTTCTTAGGTCATAGGAGCCCATTTCAGGGCACCTGGGGACTCCTGAGTTCTGCCTTCCTTCCAGCCTCATGACTACAGTCTCTTGCCAGGCAACTTCCATTCCTGGTTTCTGATTTCCACAGTGCCACTGTGCCACTCACATCTTCAGCCTTTCAGCCCTCTGTTGGGAACAGGCCAGTATGAGCTCTTCCCATCCTGAGTGAGCTCCTCCTGCCCCGAGTCGAGGATTTTCTGTGTGGGGCAGCTGAAACATGGGCTCTTGAACTGGATCAAAGTAGGTTGAAGCATAGAGACCAAATTGAGTTTTCTGTTTTCTAATAGGGAGTAGGGTTTGGGGTTTTCATTCGGCTCAGGCTCTATAGAACCAGAGGTGTTTGCATGAGAAGACCAGCTTCAGAGCCATGGGCCTCATCTTGACAGTGAAAGAGTCAAGAACATGTTGTCTTTTCCTCCCTTGAGTAGGCATCCTGCCTGCTCTGGCTTCCTAAGCCAGAAGGCAGAGGGGAGTATAGGCTGATGCAAAAATAGAAAAATGATCCAATCTATCAGCCCCAGGGCTCTCACTGTGGGCTGCCCCAAGCAGTCTCCAGGTGGGTGAGCAGTTGGCTGGGATGGCATGTGTGCCTTGTCATGCAGCCGATTGTCAGTGCTGCCTGTCAGACAGAGAGTGGGCAGTGCTTGCAAGATTCCTTACTTGTCTCCAGCTTTTGGAAATGGCTCTGGTCATCCTTCTAATCATTCACAAATCTTGTTTTTTCTCAAGCCACTGCCCTCACAGAACTGACTGACTTAAGCGGATATGTTTGCATGTGTGGTTTACATGTGTGCACGTGGGTATCTCTGCTGGTAATTGTGTGTTGTTGGCTTTCGGCAGGATGGAAATTTGAGGCAGCGGATCTCTTTTTATTATTTATTATAGCAATGTTGATTGGTGGGAAGAACTGGGGGAGGAAGGTCTGATTTCTTGGCCCAAGGTAAATATGTTGTTAGACTATGTAACTGTCATCCGACCTTCAGTAAATTTGGGAAATTCCCAGTCTGTTTACAGAAGTAAAATTCTGAAATGTTTTAAGCCCCTCAGAAAAGGCAGCTGGAAAAGGGATGCTGGAAGGGACACAAGCACCAGTTAATTAGGCCAATTTTAACTGTTTTTTAAAAAAAAATTTTTTTAACACTGCTAGGCCTAGGATTACAATAGTGAATGAGACACAAGACTTTTTTTTGTAGTTTTTGTTCTAGAGATTACAATTTAGTGGAGGAGCTTGGGGTCTGATGGGAAATGTGGAAGAAAGTGGGGAGACCTCTCAGGTTTAAGAGTTTGCAATTAGAACTTCCTTGAGTAGTGGTTACTAACCTTTTTGAATTGAGAATCTAAGGAAAGCCCTGGGGCCTGTCCATAAAAATACATACACACACAGCCTCCTTACATCTGTGCATGGCACTGAAGTTAAAAGCCCTTTCCTGGGGACTAAGCTGGCATATCACTGATGGCTGCCTGGTGCTGCCCTTGGCATTGAGGGCCAGGATGGCTGAAAGGGCTTGGCTTCCATCTGTAGGCAGCCCAGGAGGTGTTTGGAGAAATGCTGGGCTCTTAAGATGGCCTGTGAGAAGGCCTTGATTACCATCCCACCCACTCAGCTGGGTGTTGGCGGTCACTTCGCCCTGTACAGGACAGCTTTTAGTGGTGTACCACCTGAGCCACCACAAGATGCTAGCCTGCTGTGGCCCACTTTCCCCAGCCCAGGAGCATGTTTCAGTGTTCTGAAACAATTTTGGACTGTTTTATGAATCATCACTCCCTGTTTTTTGGTTGTTTTGTGTCCAGAGCTGTGCCTGATTCACCTGTTCTCACAGCTGCTGTCTGTCCTCTGGGTTTTAGCCTTCCAGAGATGATACCTACCCAGGCACCTCTTGGCCATCCATTGTAGAGTTTCCTTGAACTTTTCTCTTAGGGTCTGGAATATCTTCCTCAGGATGAAGACTAATATTTTTTGAGTACTTACTGTGTACAAGGCACTGTTACAAGTGCTTTATATATTAGCTAATTTAACCCCCACAAAGTAGATGATGATATTAATCCCATTTTATAGATGAGAGAACTGACACATAAGGAAGTTAGATTTTTCTTTTTAAGGGTTTTTTTTTTTGGCTGCGTTGGGTCTTAGCTGTGGCACACGGGATCTTCGTTGAGGCGTGCGGCATCTTTGCGGCGTGCGGGATTCTCTCTAGTTGTGGCGTGTGGGTTTTTTCTCTCTAGTTGTGGTGTGCAAGCTCCAGGGCGCGTGGGCTCTGTAGTTTGCAGCACATGGGCTCTCTAGTTGAGGCATGCAGGCTTAGTTGCCCCACGGTATGTGGGATCTTAGTTCCCCGACCAGGGATTGAACCCACGTCCCCTGCATTGGACAGCAGATTCTTTACCACTGGACCACCAGGGAAGTCCCGGAAGTTAGATTTTTTACCCAGGACCACATAGCTTGTAAGAAGTAGAGCTAGGATTTGAACCCAGGCTGTCTGGTTCCAGAGCCTACACTTTATACTAAAGAAACAGTTCCTTCAGCAGGATCCAGGAGACCTTATAACTAAGCAGTTTAGGGACACCCTCCCCCTTTCTCTTACCCCATTATTCCAAAGCAGAATTTTATATTAGGAATGCCTTTCCTTTATGTCAGAGATAATAAGCCTTTGCATGATAATAATTTATTCATTCCACCAATATTTATTGAATGCATACTGTATACCAATGCTGTATATAAATTATTTCATTTAATCCTCACAACAGCCCTTTGAGGTAACTGCTATTATTTCCACTTTTATGCATGTGGTAACTAAGGCTTAAAGAGGTCGGTAATTTTGCCCAAAGTTATAGAGTTAGTAAGACACAGCCAGGTTCAAACCCTAGATGTTTTGCCTGGCATCACAGCCTGTGCTCTTTCCATTGAGAGAGTCTACCTTCCATATCACAGAGTTTCTCTACCTTGACACTGTTGACAGTTGGGGCAGGATAGTTTTGGTGGTAGACTTTCCCATGTATTGTGGGGTGTCTAGCAGCACACAGTAAATGCCAATAGCAATGCCTCTTCTTCCCCTCCCCCAGGTAGTGACAATCAAAAATGTCTTCAGCATTGCCAGATGTCTCCTGAGGGGACTGCTGTGTCAGGATGGAGACTGTGTTCATCTTGTTTTGTACGGAGCTCAATCTGCAGCCATTTAGTTTCCCCACCCCAAATTCTTTAGCTTTTCCTCTAGGATCAGTGTTCCAGCATCATAGGTGGACCATACACATGGCTCAGAGGCTGTTTGCCTGTATTTCCCTGCAGGGCCGTGGTGGAGGCTGTGCATCGACTTGACCTCATCCTTTGCAACAAAACTGCTTATCAAGAAGTGTTCAAACCAGAGAACATTAGCCTGAGGAACAAGTAAGCTGAGACTCTAAACTACACATTCTTACAGCTTCTTTATTCCTTTCCACCTGAAACCCTGTCACATATAGACACATGTTCTCTTTTATCTTCTGACCTCATGGTACAATAATGGGGCATGATGTCTCTGGCCTTCCTAAGAGGGAGAGGGGATCCGTCACTCTCTCCAGCTTCTACATCTAACACCGTTAGAATGGTGTTTGAGTTGGAGGAGTTGGCCATACTGCATAATGAAGGAAGGAAAGAGGAGATACAGAGGCAGAGTAAAAAGGAGAGAAAGGTGCAGGGAAAGAAATGAAGATTATTAAAATTCTTATTGCTCCTGCCTCTGTCTTTTGGGGCTCCCACTGCCTTCCAGGACTGCTGTTGTCTTGGGTCCTACTGACTGACCCTGGATGTCTATTGCGAGGCACAGAGATTTGTCAGTCGGGGTGTTGGCAAATGCCTTCTTGTCCTCAGTTCTTGTGTCCCTCACCAAGGGATGGGCAATCCCTCTCATGCTGTCCTCTACACCCTCCCAGGCTGCGTGAGCTCTGCGTCAAGCTTATGTTCCTGCACCCGGTGGACTATGGGAGGAAGGCAGAGGAGCTGCTGTGGAGAAAGGTGTACTACGAAGTTATCCAGCTTATCAAGACTAACAAAAAGGTCAGGGGAGGTCAAGGTCTTGGGAAGATGTTTGTCTAAAGTGGGGAAGCTAAGGAAGAAAAGGACAGCTGGGCAAGTGGGCCAGAGTATGGTTGTAGATAGGGAAACCAAGGAAGAGACAGCAGAAAGGGAGAGAGTCATATGGAATTAGGATCAGGGAAGGAGGGGAGCCTGATCCCAGATGGGGAGACCAGAGAAGTAGGTCTAAGGGTATAGGGGTAACTTGTGAGTGAGAGGAGATGTGGATAAAGTTCCAGAGCCAAGAAGATAAGTTTATTTCTTCAGGGAGATGAATATGATTAGGGATGGGGGAGCAGAACTCTGATCTTGTTGCTTAACTAGCCCCTTCCCTTTCCCAATCTCCAGCATATCCACAGCCGGAGCACCTTGGAATGTGCCTACAGGACACACCTGGTCGCTGGTATTGGCTTCTACCAGCATCTCCTTCTTTATATCCAGTCCCACTACCAGCTAGAACTGCAGTGCTGCATCGACTGGACCCATGTCACCGACCCCCTCATAGGTCAGTGAAACCTGGGCTCGAGGAGCAAGTTCATATGCTTCTACTTCTGGCCGCCTTATCCCTCAGGATCCATGTACCTTGTGACCCAGCCAGGCAGCGAGCATTCTAGAAGACCTACAAATGCTTCATGAAATTTGGATTTACCCAAACAACCGTATGACTCGGGGTAAAGATCTTAAGGAAAGAGAGAGAGAGACCTCTTCAGTCTGGGATTGTAGACCGATGGGGAGTTGGGGAAGGAATGGAATGATCTAGAGTAGGTCTGACACTGAAAGATGTTATTAATAGCATTTTTTTTCTTCCAGTTGAATTTGGCTGGCATTTCTTTTAACTTTAGAGATTGTTTCCTAGTATTTGATGAAAGTATTAAAGTTTTTAGAAACGTTGGGGAAATCATGGACATTCTTTCAAGATAGTGCAAATCTCTTTTTGGCCTTCTGAGGTACTGGCAGCTATGGTGGTTTTCTCTTCAGTTCAGCTATCCTTTAGAGCTCCTTCCCTCTTCCTCCAACTCCCCTTGCTCTTTATACCCCCTACCCTCCCCCAGCCCCATGCCCCTTCCCTCACCAGGACAAAGACATTCTGGGTCAGAGATGGAGGTTGTGTCTGCACCCCCATGTGGCAGCATTCTCTGGTCAGAAGCAGAGCACTGTACTTTGTACATTTAAAAACATTTAAAAACAAAACAATGGGGAATTCCCTGGCGGGCCAGTGGTTAGGACTTGGCACTCTCACTGCTGGGACCCCGGGTTCAGTCCCTCGTTGGGGAACTAAAATCCTGCAAGATGTGTGGCGCAGCCAAAAATAAAACAAAACAAAACAAAACAACGTCAATCCAAGGCAACATTTATAGGTGTTATACCAGATTGCCAGAGGGGTCCATAGCTTAAACAAAGATTAAGAACCCTTATTTCAAAGGGTCAGTTCCCCAAATCATTTTAGTTTTTCTCCTTATTGATATTTCTCATTCAGCCAACTCAGTGATGTCTCTATAAAGAATATTAGGAAAGGCTGCTCAGAATGGGAGCTACACACCCAGGAGTGTGGCTGCAAAGTGGAATGGATAGGAGGATGCTATGCAACTTACCTGCTGTGCAACTTTGATTTCTTTAACTGTAAAATGGAAGTAACAAGAGTAACTACCTCATGCGGTTGCTTTGAGCATTACTTAAGTTGATATTTTAATACACTTAGAACAGTACCTGGCACATGGGAAAACTGCCTGCCAAGTAGCCGGAGCTCTCTGAAGTTACAAGGCTGCCTGGGTGAAGGGAGAGGAGAGAGCCCATGCATGTTTGGCTCTGGCCACCACCAGTCCTCAGGTCAGGCAAGATGACCCCGTTTCCCTCATGAATAGACTCTCCATAGGCTGCCTTCTCTGTGGACCTCCCACCAAGCAGAAGCCAGGAGCATTTACCTTGGCCTCATTCAAATGCCATTCTTCCTGGGCAAGTTTCCCATCTTTACCCAAACCTTTTACCTTTAGGTGGGGAGCTGCTACCCAAGGCACCCACAACTGTACTGACACTTGAGCCTCACCTCTACTTTCTAGAAGCCTTCCTATGATGACCTTTCACACGACCTTCCCCCAGGGAGCTGTCCTAGGTTGAGGACCATAGCCCATCTGTTTTAGTTCCTTTCTGTCCTATGAATGACCCCTGCCTATGAGTTTCTGTGTCTCTACCTCTGTCTACCTGTGAGCCTGTGTCTCTATCTCTGTCCTGGATGGGTGTCTTCTCTGCCCCATACGGCCGTGTTCTAAAACTAGCCCTGGATTCTTTATCTCCTTTCTCCACCTAGGAAAGGTGTTTCCCCAAAGGTAGGGACAGAGGAATGGGCTTATAAACATATCTCTCTCTCTCTTTCTCTCTCTCTCTTTCTCAGGATGCAAGAAGCCAGTGTCTGCCTCAGGGAAGGAGATGGATTGGGCACAGATGGCATGCCACCGATGTCTAGTGTACCTGGGGGATTTGTGTAAGAATCCGAACCTTTCATTTTTCTCTGTTTTGGGCTACAGGACAGGCTCCAACTGCTCTTGTTGGTACCACCCTTTACGTGATTGGAGAGCAGGAGGCGCAGTGTGGCCTCTGATAACTTTTCTCCTCCAGTCTGTTTACAGTGTTTCCTTCTTTTCACTGTTCGTGCATGAGTCGAAAAGGATGGTGAATACAAGAAGAAGGAAAATGTCTTTGCTCTTTAAGAAAGTCAGGGTGATAACCTGGTTTCAGCGGTGGGTTAGGAAGATTTTAATTTGATGTCTTTCTCCTTTGGGGTTTTCTCTTCATGGATTCCTAGAGGAATTGCAGTTAGACCTCAGGGAGGACTTACCTGCCTGAAATATGTTTCTCAGAATGGAAAAGTACTCTTGCTTTATGGCCCCCGGTCTCTAGTCCTGATAGACAAAGGTTCTGTCATTAGGCTGCCGGTGTGTGGCTGTCAGATGCATTATCCTTTATTGATCTGAGGCTCGTCTCCCTGCCCCCATCCCGCTCCTGGACCCTTTATAGGCAAGGGGCACAGAGAGAATCAGCTGTTTCACAGTAGATTGACCAAGTGTCATTAGTAATGTCTTCTCTCTAGAACTGAGCAGTTGAATTCCAGAACCAAATATCAGAAGTCTTTTCAAGCATTTATATATGCTGCTGCCCCTTCATTGGGAAGAGATAATCAAGAAGAGCCTCTTTACTTTACAAACACTAAATATTCTTTACATTTTGGACCTACCAGCAAGGAAGAGAGAGTTGAACAGTTTGCCCATAGTCATGCAGACTTAAGACTGTGCCAGAGACCCAAGCAGCCTGCCTTCTAGCTCAGGTATCTTCCTCCCGGGCTCTTATTACAGTTCTCCAGAGTAGACTCCCAGATGAGGGGAGGTTTTTCTGAAACACGGAATCATTGTATTTCTTTTCCTCCCCTACCTCCTGCAGCACGATATCAGAATGAATTAGCTGGCGTAGACACTGAGCTGCTAGCTGAGAGATTTTACTACCAAGCCCTGTCAGTGGCTCCCCAGATTGGTAAGTGGACCCCTCCACTGGGGCCTCCCAACCCAGCAGCATTTTCCAAGAGGTAGACAATGTTGAGATGGCAGGCAGGCCATACTCACTTCCCCCTGGGTCCTTCCCACCCACTCTCAATTCTTTCATACTTCACCTTGGTTCTGCATTCTGACCCTTGTAACACACACTCAGAAGATGGTGGAAGGAGAAGAGAAATGGGAAAGTCTTGAGCTAAGAAGGAAGGAGGCAGAAGAAGAGGGAGAGACAAGATGGCTTCCCTGTCCCTGAGGTTTCTGTAGAAAGAGGGGACCGTACTTCAGCTGCCCCCATGGAGGCACAGTGAGGGAACGGATAAGGCTCCATTACAGGGAAAGATGGGGATTAGCATGTAGGAAGGAGAACTCAGAGGTGAGAGACTGAGCTGGGATAGAGGAGAGGGCTCCATGGAGTTCAGTCAGCATTGGAAGAGGCACAGCTGCTGCTGAAGGAATGGCAGCTGTCAGTGCTGAAATCCCTGGTGGTCCAGGTGGGCTTAGACTGATAGGAAGTGAGTCTAGAATAGATAACGCCCTGGAGGAGCAAGATTAAACTGCTGATCACCTGAGACACCAGTGTCGCCTGCAGACCCACTGTTCTCCCCATGAGTTCTCTGATGCTTAACGTGGGTTGGGTCTTGCAGCTTTCCGTGAGTATTATGGCTACAGACTGTGTGACTTTTCTTCCTCTCCAGGAATGCCCTTCAACCAGCTGGGCACACTTGCCGGCAGCAAGTACTATAATGTGGAAGCCATGTATTGCTACCTGCGCTGGTGAGTATTTGCCAGCTCTTTCCCCAGCCCTACTTCCATGTCTGCACAATTCCTGCTTTGTTTTCTCTCTTCCCTTTCTCCCTTCTCTAGCTCCTGGGTGAGATAGATAGGAGAATGCTAAGATTGAGGGGGTCCCTTCTCTCAGGGGCATCCTGGCACAGCCCTGCTGCTTTTCACATAGCCACCTGGACTTGTAGATACTTGGGCAGCTGAAGTAGCTGTCTGCTGTCATAAAAAATAACAGGATTGCCGCCTTCCTGAAGAAGGAAATAAATTTGATATAGTTGATAAAATGGTACCAAAGTAGCCTCTGACAAGAACTTCAGAACTATAGAGCTTCAGTGTCTTGAGGTGACAGAGATGACAGCATGGGGGGACAAGTTTAACAGGGTGGATCACTGCTTCCCTGAATCTCACACTTAGCTCTTAGAATGAAAAAACAATTTTTTCGGGGCACCCAAAGTTGATTAGGCTTAGGTTACTAAGTCACCATAACCAAACGCACGTGAGAGTGGTAGGTAAATGAGAATGCCATTGGTTAAGTCTTAGTGAGACATAAACTGCCAGGAAACTCACTGTTGCCACCTAATCAGGGCCAGAGTCTACTTGAGAAGCCAAATCTATCTCAGAAGAAGTTATATAGTGAATTGGGCTTCAAAGCCTAAAGGGAATAAGGGTGGTCTTCATAGCTTAAATGGTCAGCTACTAAGGTGTAAAGTAAAATAACCTAATTCTGCCTTCCTGGTCAAGGAAACCTGTTTCCTGTATCAACAGATATTTACCCTGTTCCGTTACTAGATCACTACAGACTGGCCTCCCATCCACTTTATTCATTTTATTTTTTTAATTGAAATATAGTTGATTTACAATGTTGTGTTAATTTCTGCTGTACAGCCAAGTGATTCAGTTATACATATACATACATTCTCCTTTATATTCTTTCCCATTGTGGTTTATCACAGGATACTGAATATAGTTCCCTGTGCTATACAGTAGGACCTGGTTGTTTATCCATTCTGTATATATGTAAAAGTTTGCGTCTGCTAACCCCAAACCCCCACTCCATCTCTCCTCCACCCCCACTTCTCCCTTGGCAACCACAAGTCTGTTTTCTATGTCTGTGAGACTGTTTCTGTTTTGTAGATAAGCTCATTTGTGTCATATTTTGGATTCCACATATAGGTGATACGATATGGTATTTGTCTTTCTCTGTCTGACTTACTTCACTTAGTATGATAATGTCTAGTTCCATCCATGTTGCTGCAGACGGCATTATTTCATTCTTTTTTTATGGCTGAGTGATATTCCATTGTATATATATATATATATATATATGTATTACATCTTCATCCATTCATCTGTAAATGGACATTTAGGTTGTTTCCATGCCTTGACTATTATAAATAGTGCTGCTATGAACATAGAGGTGCATGTATCTTTTTGAATTATAGTTTTGTCTGGATATATACCTAGGAGTGGGATTGCTGGATCACATGGCAACTCTATTTTTAGTTTTTTGAGGAACCTCCATACTGTTTTCCATAGCGGCTGCACCAATTTATATTCCCACCAATAGTGTAGGGGGGTTCCCTTTTCTCCACACCCTGTCCAGCCTTTGTTATTTGTGTATTCATTCTTGAATATGATTACCAGGTTTATAACCTCCCATTGCATCTTTCCCATTCCTTGCATGCCTTCCAGGGAATGCCCCCCTTACTTGTCCTGGATCCCTCATCACATTCATAATCATGATTTAGGGTGAATCACTTTCAAAGAGAGCCAAGCACATCCAGATTTGGGAGGTGCCAAATAAGGTCCTCCTCTACTATGCTTAAACAATTATATCTCATGGTTTGTGGGTTAGGCATTTGGCTAGGGCTCAGTTTGGCAGTTCTCCTCCTGAGTGGCATTGTCTAGGGTCAGTCAGTGGTATTTGGCTGATTTGGGGGTCTGCTATATCTGGAGGGTTGGTTCATCTGGACCCCTCTCCCTGTAGTCTCAGGGCCTCTCCATGTGGTATCTTCCTCAGGGCAGATGGACTTCTTACATAGTGGCTCAGGGCTCCAACAGCAAATAATGACCCAAGAAACTTGGAAGTAGAGTCTGCCAATCTCTTAAGGCCTGGGCCTGGAAACTGGTGGAGTCACTCCTGCAGTATTCTCTTGGTCAAAGCAGTTGCATAGTCGTCGTCTCCCACCCTCATCCCCTGCCAATATTTAAGGGGAGGTGACACAGAACCCACTTCTCAGTGGAAGGAGTATAAAAAAATTTATTTATTTATTTATTTTTTTGCGGTACGCGGGCCTCTCACTGTTGTGGCCTCTCCCGTTGCGGAGCACAGGCTCCGGACTCGCAGGCTCAGCGGCCATGGCTCACGGGCCCAGCCGCTCGGTGGCATGTGGGATCTTCCCAGACCGGGTCACGAACCCGTGTCCCCTGCATCGGCAGGCGGACTCTCAACCACTACGCCTCCAGGGAAGCCCTGTAGCTATATTTAATTCACCACTGACGTGTATTTCTTTTCTATCACTGCTTTTTTGTAATTAAAAGATGTTTCAAAAAACAAGACATTTTTTAAAAAGTATAGCATGCTCTTAAGTTCATAGGCTTTGTGATAAGACAGACTTGGGTTGGAGACTCAGCTCTACTATGTTTTAGCTATGTGACCTTTGTTTTATTGATTGATTGATTGATTGCCGCGTTGGGTCTTCGTTGCCCCGCGTGGGCTTTTCTCTAGTTGTGGCGAGCAGGGGCTACTCTTTGTTGCGGTGCGCGGGCTTCTCGTTGCGGTGGCTTCTCTTGTTGGGGAGCACGGACTCTAGGCACCGGGCTTCAGTAGTTGTGGCTTGTGGGCTCTAGAGCTCAGGCTCAGTAGTTGTAGTGCATGGGCTTAGTTGCTCCGCGGCATGTGGTATCTTCCCAGACCAGGGCTCGAACCCATGTCCCCTGCACTGGCAGGCGGATTCTTAACCACTGCGCCACCAGGGAAGTCCGTTATGTGACCTTTGCATTATACTTGATCTCTCAGGCTTTACTTCCTCATCTGTAAATGTGGACAATAGTAGGGTACAGTGCGTGACACAGAGTGGGGTGCTCAGTACATATTTGCATTTGAATGAATATCATGAGGATTAACTGAAGTAGTGTATGTAAATATCTTTGCACATAGTAAATGCTTGTTAAATGCTACCTATTAAGTGCCTGTGCTTTAAGATGAAGGATAGTGTATTTCAGGGATGGTAACTAAGTTAAGTTTGTAACATTCAGTGAGATTAACTGTCCCATTTCTAGATACAGAGGAGATGCAGATGTCATCATTACTCTGATTAATCTGGAAGTTGTATGTGTGTATTTTATTAGGAAAGATAGCTTTCACCCTGAGTGCATACATGGAAGGGGAGGCTGGGAGCAGCCTGTATTGACTAGAAACAGTGCTCCCTAAATCCCTGGAAGACTGACATTTCCCCTCTCCACCTCTGCCTCTGCCAAGACTCAGTAGCTCACCTCTGTCTCCTTCAGCATCCAGTCGGAAGTGTCCTTTGAGGGGGCCTATGGGAACCTCAAGCGGCTGTATGACAAGGCAGCCAAAATGTACCACCAGCTGAAGAAGTGCGAGACTCGGAAGCTCTCTCCCAGCAAGAAGCGGTGAGTGGGGCCTGTGGGAAGAGGGGGTCTTTCTGCAGTTGGTGCGGTAGGACCATAGGGACCCTGGAGCTGTTCACCATTTACCTTGGGCTCCTCTCATTTCAGATGTAAAGACATTAAGAGGTTGCTGGTGAACTTTATGTATCTGCAAAGCCTCCTGCAGCCCAAAAGCAGGTGAGTGGAAGAGAATGTGAGCAAGAACTGTGTCCTGTGAGCCCCATCACGATGGCTTCTTTCTGGCAGGGGACTTGAAGAGGAGGGAGTGGGCTGGTGAATTCTGCCTTTTGATTGGAAATTCTTTAGCTGCTTAGTCCTTTCTTGGCATCCCTCACTGTCTCACCCTATGTTCTGTGCCCATTCTTTGGGTGGCTTACCCTCTGGCACAGTGGGTGCTTACTAGATGTTGAAGGAGTGGCCGAATGGGAAGCCTGCCCACATCCCTTCCACTGCGTGTCTGCCCTTCCCGTGTTATTCTGTCTGCTTTGGAGACCAGCAAGCACTGATTCCCCCTGCTCCTCTTTCTGAAGCCTCCCCTAAGGATCCTGTGGTCTTTTCTCTGAATCCTGTATTCCCAGCTCTTTTTGCCTGCCCCAGCCCCCATCACTGACCTCCCCTGTTATCCTGCCCTTCTATAGCTCTGTGGACTCAGAGCTGACATCACTTTGCCAGTCAGTCCTGGAGGACTTCAACCTCTGTCTCTTCTACCTGCCCTCCTCACCCAACCTCAGCCTGGCCAGTGAGGATGAGGAGGAGTATGAGAGTGGATGTGCTTTCCTCCCGGACCTTCTCATCTTTCAGATGGTCGTCATCTGCCTTATGGGTGTGCACAGCTTGAAGAGAGCAGGTAACTCTCCCTCTGGCCCTCATTTCTCCCCGACTGGCTTCTGGGATCCTCACTACCGTTTTCTGCAGCTCCTTATCCGTGAACTTGCTTCCACAAGCAGTCCCTTCACTACCTGTGTTGCCGCCTGGCTGTGGGAGACAGGGGCAAGGAACCCTGCCCTAAAGAAGCTCCTAGTGAATGAACAAAGGCAACAGCATATTCCCACCCCCTCCGCCCTCCTGCACCCACAAACACACGTACCCTTGGCCAGGACCCAGGCAGACACAGTGGTTGAGATGCTTAGCTGATGATCCAGACGGAATTCAGACTTGCTGGGGGTGGGGTCAGTTAGGCAGTTCTGGAAACCTTTCTGCCGGAGGTGTATGTAGAGCAAAGTTGGATGGAAGGGAGGGAGAGGCAGGGCTGGGTGCAAAGGTGCTTGGGGCATATGGGGAGACGCTTGCGTGAAGGCATCAAAGCCAGGGAGGATGAGGTGGGACAAGAGCATCCATGAGCTTTCATGAGGAAGCAGGATGAGCTGGCACATTCCACATTACAGGATGAGAGTGAAGAGCCCTGAGAAGTCTTTTTTTACCTTAGAGGAAGTTTTCAGAGGTAGTCGGATCCTTGGAAGGGTTGAGAACAGGTGAGATGAGGTTGAAATTAGTGGAGCCTACTCCTTTTCAGGGCCCTGGGCCCCTAATGCTGGCTTTCCTGGTTTTAGGATCCAAGCAGTACAGTGCAGCCATTGCCTTCACCCTGGCCCTCTTCTCCCACCTTGTCAATCATGTCAACATACGGCTGCAAGCTGAGCTGGAAGAGGGCGAGAATCCCGTCCCGGCATTCCAGAGTGATGGCACAGGTGCAGGCACGGGGGAGGTTGTGACTGTGGAAAGGTTAGCATGGGGTGTGGGGATCGTGGGAGGGGAACACAGCTGTGGCAGGGGAGGTGCTGTCAAAGAGCACCTGCCAGTGTCCTCGTTCCGGTTTGTCCCTAAGGCCCCACCTGACCATCCTCTTTCCACAGATGAACCAGAGTCCAAGGAACCCTTGGAGAAGGTGGAGGAGCCGGGTCCTGAGCCTCCTCCTGCAGCATCTCAAGATGGCGAGGTCAGAAAGAGCCGGAAGTTCTCCCGCCTCTCCTGCCTCCGCCGCCGGCGCCACCCACCCAAAGCTGGTGATGACAGTGACCTGAGTGAAGGCTTTGACTCAGACTCGAGCCATGACTCAGCCCGGGCCAGTGAGGGCTCAGACAGTGGCTCCGACAAGAGCCTTGAAGGTGGGGGAACAGCCTTTGATGCCGAGACAGATTCAGAAATGAACAGCCAAGAGTCCCGATCAGACCTGGAAGATATGGAGGACGAGGAAGGGACACGGTCCCCAGCCCTGGAGCCACCTCGAGCCAGGTCAGAGGCTCCTGAATCCCTCAACGGCCCACTGGGGCCCAGTGAGGCCAGCATTGCCAGCAATCTACAAGCCATGTCCACCCAGATGTTCCAGACTAAACGCTGCTTCCGACTGGCCCCCACCTTCAGCAACCTGCTCCTCCAGCCCGCCACCGAAGCTCCCACCTTGGCCAGCCGCAGGCCCTGTGTCAATGGGGATGTGGACAAGCCCTCAGAGCCAGGTACTTGGGCCTCTCTTCATCATCTTGCTTTGGTCCTCACCTCCATACCATCGGCATTCATCTGAGAGAGGCCACTTTTTTCTCTGTTTGAGTACCTCTCATCCCCACCCTCACTGCCTGGCTTTCGGCTTCTGCCTGTAGTGTGGCCTGGAGTTTTTTCCTGGGAATCCCCTCTGCTGCTCACTTCCTTATTCTCAGCTCCCAACTGATTTCATGGTCTTATTCTCCCCCCACTCCCACCTTGCCCCGTGGGTTTGGGGCTTTTCTCCCTACACAGCACTGCAGCTGTAACTCCCTCCCGTGCCATCCCAGGTCCTACCAGGGCTCCTGGAAGCTAGAAAAACAGCACCCACCAGGGCAGGTGGATTAGAATGAGACTGTTTCCCTGAGGGTCTTCCCCTGAGGTGCAAAGGGAGCACCTGGTCAGCAGCAGCAGTGAGCATTTGCGGCATCTACTCTATGCCAAGCACTGGGTTGGATTTTTTGGGGGTCTTATCTAATTTTCACTGCAGTCTTGTGGTGGAAGAGTTATCATCCCTATTCTAAATTCTGTTCTTTACCTCCAAGCTTCTGTGCACAGTGCTTCTTTGGTCTGGAATATACTTTTCCTCCCTTGCCCCGAGCCTCTCAATTAGCCAATTGCTTGCCTAATTCTCACTTTAGATTTTAGCTTAAAAGTCACTTGGTCTGGGATTCCTCCAAGGGTAGGCTTCCTGTGGGCTCCTGTAGACTCTGCACCTTGGCAACTTCCAGCCTTTTCCCACTCGAGTGACATTGTCCGTTGACTTGTCTGTCCCTCCCCTGCAATACCATGAGCCTCTTGAGGGCAGGGCAGTCAATGTTTTGTCTATCGCTGTATCCTCATTGCCTAACACAGTGCTTGGCACGTGGTTGGGACTTTGAATGAATCACAGAAATGAGGAAGCTGATGCTCAGAGCTGGAGTGTGAGCCACTTGGTGTTCTAACCTGCAGACTTGAAGAGCTAGGAGTTGGAAGTAGTTCTTTTAATTCTGTACCCCTTTTCTCCCCACCTGTAGCTCACTCTGACTGTCTGCCCTGCCTTTTGCACAGTATAGGCACATCATAAATATCAGTTGAGTGAGTAGCTGTAGACCTCACAAATTAGCTCGTGGTTTTTTTTTTAAATTTAGTTATTTAATTTATTTATTTTTGGCTGCGTTGGGTCTTCGTTGCTGTGCACGGGCTTTCTCTAGTTGCGGCAAGCAGGGGCTACTCTTTCGTTGTATTGCGTGGGCTTCTTATCACAGTGGCTTCTCTTGCTGCAGAGCACGGGCTCTAGGGCACGCGGGCTTCAGTAGTTGGGGCACGTGGGCTGTAGAGCGCAGGCTCAGTAGTTGTGGTGCACGGGCTTAGTTGCTCCACGGCATGTGGATCTTCCCGGACCAGGGCTCGAACCCATGCCCCCTGCATTGGCAGGCAGATTCTTAACCACTGCACCACCAGGGAAGCCCCTTAGCTCGTATTTTAAAAGGCACCAGGCTCTTGGCTTAAAAGCAACTAGTTAGTGAGTCTAGAAAAGTTAGGCAGGAGGCTGAGTCCTCCCTTCTCACATCAGAATTCTTCAGAAGAGTCCAAGCAGGTTGGGGCATGCTCCCCGCACAGAGCTGAAGCCTGTTGCCATGTGCCTACTAGTCGCTCATCCTGGTTCTCTGTCACCCACCCCCAGCCTCTGAAGAGGGCTCTGAGTCGGAGGGAAGTGAGTCTAGTGGGCGCTCCTGCCGGAATGAGCACAGCATCCAGGAGAAGCTGCAAGTCCTGATGGCCGAAGGCCTGCTTCCTGCTGTGAAAGTCTTCCTGGACTGGCTACGGACTAACCCCGACCTCATCATTGTGTGTGCGCAGGTGCGTCACTCCACTCCCACTGCTCTCCGTCAGGTCCCAAGGTGTAAGGGGAGGACGCCAGCCAGGATGGGGTGTGGGAATCCCCTCAGGTGGGCTGGTCAAGACAAAAGTTATTGTCAAGCACCTGCTCTGTGCTGGCTCCTTATGCTTTTTACAGGGCAAGGATTAGGCATGACCTTTGCCCTCAAAGAGTCTGTGGCCTGGGCTGGGATACAAATTTTGTGGACTGGGAAAATAGCACTGCTTATTCTGCTTTGTGTCCCCAACGCCAGGCATAATGCCTGCCATTATGAGTAACGTCTGTGACAGTATGTGTTCAAGGGCTAACCTTGATAGGTAAACACCGGAGTCCAGAGAAAGGAGAGAGCACTGAGTAGTGACAAGAGAGATGAGACTGGGAAGTGACAGGATGTTCAGACAAGGTGCAGGTGTTGTGAGCAGGGAAACGGCTTAAAGAGAGTCCTGTAGCTGGAGTGAGTGGTGTCAGAAGCGGGCTGCCATGGAGACTGGCTGGCGTGATTGTGACCTTTTCCTTCCTTTCTCAGGTTCAGAGTCTTAATCTTGAGCCTCCGGTGCCCTGAGGCTTTTCTTCAGTGTTCCCTTATTGCAGTAGCACACCTGCCTGCTGTGGAAGACCCTTTTCTCTGCAGGCCGCCCTCTTCCCTAGATGAGGGGGTTTAGGTCAGGGCCAGGCGCCTTGGGCATGTGCTTGTGCCTGATGACAGCTAGTTAGTCATTGTTAGCCATCGAGGGCGGTGTGGTGAAGACGGTCATATCCCCAGAGCGGTGGCCCAGTGTGCACACGTGGAGGGCTGAAAGGAAAAGTTTGTGCTAGACAGGGAGAAGCTTCCTCCAACGCGCTAGCTTTTTCCACTACCGAGATCCAGAGAGTTTCTCCTGTGGTTTCAAGCCTTCAGCGGTTGATGAAGTTCAGTGAGGCTTCATGGTCCCCTTCTTCATTCCTCCCTGTTTTCCAAGTCCTCCGTGAGCCCCCCCCTTGGCCTCTTTTGTTAATTTTTCTCTCAAACGCTTCTAGGCCTGTGACCATAGCCCCAGACCCCTCAGATATAGTGCTTTTCTTGTTCACTGCCAGCCTCCAGCACTGCCCCAGCTGAAGGCTTCCTCTTCTCTCTCTCCCTCAAGAGCTCTCAAAGTCTGTGGAACCGCCTCTCTGTGTTGCTTAATCTGTTGCCAGCTGCTGGCGAACTCCAAGAGTCTGGTGAGTGAGTCCCTGGCACTGTCCTCCCTCTCTCTCCCTCACTGGCCCCACAAAGCCCGCCTCCCCCTTCCTGGTAACCTGGTCCTTAGGGTAAGGAGGTTAATGGGATTCACTGCCTAGCCTCCCTAACACACAGCAGTCATTGTGGTCTGGGCCTCTCTGGTTTCCTGCCCCAACGTGGGGAGGTGGCCTGGTCCACCAGGGAGTGTGCTCCCTGGGGAAGGCAGTGGAGTGGCAAGAGCAGAGTGAGGGGAGCCTGTGAGCCAGCCCCAGTCGCTGGTGTGGCACCGCTGCCTTCCTCATTGAGAATTGACCTTGACCTTCAGAGCCCATCTGCCTGGGTCATCCCCTCCTGCCACCTTCCAGCTGGAAATCACCTTCTCCTACCTCTGGACTCACCCAAGGGCAGTCCATTCCTTCTTCCAGAGCTCCTCCTCTCACATCCATCCTAGTGTAATTGTCCCTCTGTCAGGGGGCCATCCCAGTCTGAGCGGTGCTCTAACCCTCCCAGCTCTGGTCTCCTAAAGCTCTGCCTGACGGCCCTGTGTACCCATCTCTCCTTTCCTCTCCCCCCATCTCTCCCCATTTTGTGTCCGAGGAGTATGTCCTGTCTCACAGCCTCTGAGGAAGGGCTGTGTCCCTCTGACTGGGGGCTCCCATAGGGCAGGTGGTCTCATGTGTCCTCTTTCTCCCCAGGCCTGGTCCTGTGTCCTGAGGTCCAGGATCTTCTTGAAGGTTGTGAACTGCCTGACCTCCCGTCTAGCTTGCTGCTCCCAGAGGACATGGCACTTCGCAACCTGCCTCCCCTCCGGGCTGCCCACAGACGCTTTAACTTTGACACGGATCGGCTCTTGCTCAGCACCTCAGAGGAGGTGAGGATATCATTTCTCACGCCACAAGCTCTGTTGTTCATCAGACTCAGTAGCAAAGCAGGGGCTCAGGGCTGGAGGGGACGGGCAGGCACCCCTTCCATCCAGACAGGGAGCATGTCCCTGGGGCTGCAGCTGTGAGTCCTTTTTCACTCGGTGAACCATTTGGACTTCCTTTCCTCCTTGGCAGGATGTCCTTCCACAGGTTTGCTGTTGGTAGTGTCTCCCTTTGTAGAACAAGCCTCCTTCCCCTTTCTCCACTTTTTGGAGAGGACAAAACAAGTAAATTATTAGGGCTTTGAAATCTCTGTTGGTCTCTTTTCTTTTCTGAGCCCAGCCTCCTCTAAGCTGACCAGCAAACAGAAAGTTGGAGCTGGAAGGGAATGTGCTACCCATTTAGCCCAGTGACTTTCACCCTTGAATCTGTGTCACCACATGGGCCGTCTTGGGGCAGCAAAGGGAAGCCAAGTGGACAGGCGTCCCAGCCCCTGTCCCCAACACACACACACCCCACCCCCACCCCCACCCCCGCGTTGGTTCCTCCTTCTCCAGCTTGGCTTGATAGTCTGTTTTATATTTTAGCATTCTAGATAAGATTTTTGTTTGATGGGGAAAGAAGGGTTTTGCTGACCAAAAACATAAGTTGGAAATGGTGATCTAGTTTGTCCTTTCATTTTACACGTTAGGATCTGAGACCCAGAGAAAGATGGCATAAGAACCCAGGTCTCATCTCTCCCAGCCCATGCCCTTGTCTCTTTCTTCTCAGCCCTGAGTCCTGCTTCTCTAGTCCTTCTGGGAGTCTCCTCGCCCTACTTGCCCACTCCTTTTCCGTTAGCTAGAGGCCCTGGGCCTCGGCACTCCTCTTTTCCACCCCACAGACCACAGGCCTTACGAGGGAGCCCGTGTTGCTGAGTTGGTTGGGCTGGCAGGGACGGCGGAGGGGAGGAGCGGGGGCCAGTGGGCCTGGAGGGCCCTGCTCAGCCGGGCCGCCTCCCATGTCTCCTCACAGACGGTCGTGCGCATCTGCTGCATCCGCAGCTTTGGCCACTTCGTTGCCCGCCTGCAAGGCAGCATCCTGCAGTTCAACCCAGAGGTCGGCATCTTCGTCAGCATCGCCCAGTCTGAGCAGGAGAGCCTGCTGCAGCAGGCCCAGGCCCAGTTCCGCATGGTGAGTCAGGCCTCCCCTCCCTGTCTGCTCTGCTCCCGTGGGCTCACTGAGAAAGCCAGGGTCAGAGGCTTAGACACACTGGTGGCCCTCGACTGAAGAACCTGGTCGTTGGGGCCGGGGAGACTGAGCCTGGGGAGGGAACTGAGGGCTGATAGGGAGTGAGAGTTGCTTTGAGCAGAGGCAGCCTGGCACCGGCCTGTATGTAGACTCACTGGGGATTGAGGGCCATCTCTGTCACCTCCTACTCTGAATTGAGCAAGTCACTTAACCTTGCTAAGTCTGTTTCCTCATCGGTTACACAGGAATAGTTGAATCAGCTTTATGGGGTTGCTGTGACTGTGCAATGATAGAGAATGGCAGGCACTTTGCACTTTCCATTATGGAGCGTGTGCTGTGGAGTATGTGTGCTCAGCAAAATGCTCCTTTCCCTTTCCTTTTCGAGGGATGAAGACTGAGGAATGGAGGGATCCCGGCATCAGACACCATGCAGGACCCTTCCATCCCACAGAAGCCTCAAAGAGTAGGAGGTGGCCTGTGTTACCTCTTTTCCAGTCAGTCATTCATTCCACAAATATTTACTGAGAATCTGCTCTATGCCAGACCCATCAGTATCCTAGGCATGAGGGTTACAGCAGCAAACAAGACAGGCCTTTCTCTTGTGAGGCTAATACTTTGTGAGCAACACTGTGGGTTCTTCAGTGGGGCCTGCACAACCCGGGGCGTGTTGTCCTCCCCAAGCTAAGTGGCACCAGTACATTTGGGGGGGTGGTGTCTGGCGCGGGAAGCACGGCCCACGTGTCTTGGCAAGCCCAGGGGTTCTTCTTCATCTCAAGCCAGTCTCCTCCCCCATGTTCTTCCTTTCCTCAGCCCCAGGCTCCCCGACCTCTGAGTACCCCCTTCCTGCGGATGGGAAGGGGCACAGTCTCCCCAGAAACCCCTCTCCTTGCTGCCTTAAAAGCAAGCACGTTTTGTTAAAAACTAACCTTTTGTGTTAAGGCTTTCATTGCTGTTGCATAGGGGAAAACACAGGGGGTTACAAAAATAATTATGGGGAAGTCACACAGCTTCAAAAAATGTTAGAGTTTGCAGGCATTTCCTCTGGCCTAAACCTCCCGAAGACTCCTCCTGGGGGCACGGAATACTTGAAAGCCCCTCTGGTGTGGTGCTAGACACCACAGGCCACGGTGGACTCAGGCCACACTGCCTGCTGGGACTGCCTCCTGCTCTGCCTGAGTCACGTTTCCACCCCAAGGGGTTTATCCCCTGGCAGCAGCAGCGTGGTCCTTGTCATGTTGCCATCTCCCATCATTTATCGAGAGTTTTCCATGTGCAAAGCTGCTTTGCATGTGACATCTCATTTAACTCTGTAACAGCCCTGTGAGGTGGGTGCTTGCAGCCTCATTTTATAGACAAGGAAGCTCAGAATGACAAAGGAGGAGGTATCAGTGGCAGAGCCAGGGCTCTGGAATTGGAAAGACCAGGCTCTTGTCCTTGTTCTAAGCTGCTGTGGGAGCTTAGCTTCTCTGCAAGCCAGGCGGGGCGCTGCTCCTACTCTCTGGGCTCTAGTGTCTGCCTGGTTTAGGGACCCCTCTTTCCCGATGGGTCTGGTCTTCTGCCTCCCTTCTTTGCTTTCTCTACCAGAGTTTCTCGAAGGGGACACTCCACAGGCGGGTAAGAGGTGGACACTTCATAACCATAGTATAATTATCAAAACTAAGAAGTTAGGATTGGTACAATCCTGTTAACTACAGACTTTATTCAGATTTCACTAGTTTTCCTCTAAATGTCTATTTTCTTTTCCAGAATCCCACATTACATTTGATTGTTTTAATGTCTCCTCAGTCTTTCCATGTCTTTTTTTTTTTTTTTAATATTTATTTATTTATTTGGTTGCACCGGATCTTAGTTGAGTCAGGCGAGCTCCTTAGTTGTGGAATGCGTGTGGGATCTAGTTCCCTGACCAGGGATCGAACCCGTGCCCCCTGCATTGGGAGCCCAGAGTCTTAACCAGCGCGTCACCAGGGAAGTCCCTTCCCTCGTCTTCTATAGTCTTGGCAGTTCTGAGGAGTAGCGTTCAGTTGTTTTGTGGACGCCCCTCACTTGGCCTTGTCTGGTGTCTTCCTATGATTAGGACGAGAGTGTGCATTCCAGACTAATATTTTAAAGCATCACTCTGATGATGCCAGTGTGCTCGTCAAAGAGCTTTCAGTGGCTCCCCATGTCTTTTAGAATAAGTCCCCATCTTTAGACCGTACTAAGGAATTTGGACTTCATCTAGAAGACAGAGGAAAACCATCACAGGAGTTTTAGTCAGGGCCATGGTGGACAGCAGATGGTTTTTGAAAGATCGCCTTGGTTGCAGGCAGAGAAAATGAGTTGGGCTGGAGGCAGAGACCAAAAAGAAGGTGGTTATAATAGTCAAGGTGGGAGGTACTGGCTTAGACCGGGGTTGCGTGTTGAAGATGGAGGGATGCAGAGGGATGTGAATGATTTTTTAGGAGGTACAGTTGACAGGACTGGGAGGCTGATAGCTTCTGGGGCTGAAAGAGAGGGAAAAGTCAAAGCTAGCTAGCTTTCTGACTTGGCAGGTGCGGGTTTACTTAGCAAGCTGGGGTGCACTAGAGGATGAGAAGCAGGTTCTGAGAAGCAGGCATTTGGGTATGTACGTGTGGAACTCACGAGTGGTCAGGTCTGGGCTGAAGCTGCAGCTTTGGGAAGAAGCTGGCAAGTGGATGATGATAGAAAGCGAAGGGGTGCATGGATGGTATCCCCTGGGAGGGAGGACAGATTGGGAGGAGCAGAGGTGGAACCCTGAGACACAGACAGGTGCCATCCCCTCCCTCTCTCCCTGGGAGGCGTGAGCTTCTGTGGGCTGCTAATGAAATGTGTTCAGATTACACAGGAGGGATATTTTTTCTCCCACGCCTCCCTTCCCCTCGCTTAGCAGGAGTGATAGAGAGCTGACTTTATATGAGGCCGTACCTATTTCAGACCCCAGGAATCCCTTTTGGTCTTCTTGATCACTGGAGAAAGGAATATTCATTCCCCCAGCTTCTTGTCCCAAGCTTAGCACCCGGTATTTTCCCCTTGTAGGCACAGGAGGAAGCTCGGCGGAACAGGCTAATGAGAGACATGGCCCAGCTACGGCTTCAGGTAAGAAGTTGGGGCCCCATACTCCTTCTGCTCTTGATCTGGTTATTGCCTGAAGCCCCCTGGCACGTCCTCAACCCTCCAGCTTCAGCCCCTGTTCTGCCTGCTGTGGCTCTCCACCTTGCCCTGGCTACCCTCCCAGCCTCCTAGACTGCCTTCCAACTGCTGACTTGTCACTGAGCTTTTGTGCTCCCTTCTGCCTTCACTTCTGTGTCTTTTCTTTCTCTTTCTCTTCCTCTTTCCTTTACCACTTGTTTCTGTCTACTTTTCCTATGAGGCCATTCGTCGAAGGGGTCCCTTGTTCCCATTGGCAGCAGGAGGAGCCCCATAAGAGCCACCTTGAGTACCATTCTTCCCCTGCCCAGGCTGCATGCAGCTCCACCCACTCTGCCTTCTCTCAACAGCTCGAGGTCTCTCAGCTGGAAGGGAGCCTGCAGCAGCCCAAGGCCCAGTCAGCAATGTCTCCCTACCTCGTCCCCGACACCCAAGCCCTTTGCCACCACCTCCCTGTCATCCGCCAGCTGGCCACCAGTGGCCGCTTCATTGTCATCATCCCAAGGACAGGTAACTATATTGGAGAGGTGGGAGCAGAGAGTGTGGCTAAAAGAGAATCTGGCTTGGGACTGAGAGACCCTTACTTGGGGCCCAGTTTACACACAGTGGCCTTGGTCAAGTCCTGCTGCCTCTCTGAACTTCAGTCATTTCATCTGCGAAGTGGGCATGGCAATCCCTGTTAAACCCTGACTCACAAGATGGTTGGGAGAAACAGATGAGAAAATCTAAGTGAAAGCAGTTGGTAAGTTGCCAACATACATTGTTGGCAGAAGGTCAGTGTCTGGAAGAGCTTCAGGATTCCTGTAGGAGCTACGGCCCCTTTTCCTGCAGTGCGTCCTGGAGTGAGTGCGGATGCTTCTGCAGAGCCCCGTGTCACGACAGCCTGAGCTCATCTGTTTTGTCGTTCCCCCACCCCCCATCTTGCCCGCCAGTGATCGATGGCCTGGATTTGCTGAAGAAGGAACACCCCGGGGCCCGGGATGGGATCCGATACCTGGAGGCAGAGTTTAAAAAAGGGAACAGGTGAGTGCAGGCCTGGCTGGACCTCTGCTGAGCACAGACAACAAATGCGTGTGTTCCTCGTGTAAGACACGTGGACCCTGGTCACAGTTGGCTCACTGCCTGGGGAGGGAGGCCGAAGACATAATTAGAAGTCAGGGTCTTAGGTGCTGAAATAGACAGCGATTGGAGGAGCTAGGAGCCCTGTTGGGGAACAGTGACCTGCTGTCCATCTACCTCTGGGGCAAACATGAGATCACTGTGACCGGGCAGAGGGGAACAAGCCCCCATCTCCAACCTATGGACTCCTTTGCAGGAGGTTCTCCTGCTTTAGGTGATCAGGTTGACCAAGGTGGGAGTGCCTTCATCGGGGCTGCCCAGGGGCTTCCCATGGGGCTGGGGGGACAGATGGCAGTGTATAGGTGCTCAGCCCAGCACAGGCCCGTCCTTCTGGCCTTTGGGGCCAGAAAAGGACTAGACACTGGGTGTAGGGAAGAGGGAGAAAGCTCCCTGCTCTCTGCTGGCTGGCCCACCCCTCCTCTGCATTTGCCCTTGCCTGGTCAGAAAGCTGCACAAAGCCTGCTTGTTTGGACCTTGTCTCCAGAAGCACTGACTTGAAAAGCATCTGCTGCTTCTCCCCTCCCAGCTCCTCCCCAGGGAGGAACCAGAGAATTGATGTTATCAGGAGGAGAGGCAAGCTGGGCTCAGCAGCCAGGAGGCCCCTTCAGAACGACTCCAAACAGACCTGTGATGTGGGAGACGCGCCCCCCCCCCCGATAAAACTGGGTCCGCTGCGCCACAATGGCCTGCTTTGTATGAGGTGCCCTCCCTCTCCCCTGCCCCCAACCTACACTCTCTCGTCTCCTTTGCAGGTACATTCGCTGCCAGAAAGAGGTGGGGAAGAGCCTTGAGCGGCATAAGCTGAAGAGGCAGGATGCAGATGCCTGGTAAAATTTCAGCCCCCACCCCTAGAACCTCAGATAGGCTGCCTAACTTGCTCCTCTGTGGGCACTCCCCAGGACAGAGGGACGGGGCCGGAGAATTCCGTAACAGGCAGCAGGACCAGCGCGGGGCCAGGCTTATTCTGCCAGAGGCCTCCTGCAGGTCTCACCTTAGATGGAGTGAGAAGTTGCTCCAGCATCTGAGCCCCCGTGGCCCTGAGATCCTTGGGCTCAGCTTCCTCACTCATTGAACCTTTGCCCAGTCCCTGTAGCATGTCCTCTGGGGCCAGCTTCCAGGACCCTCTCCTCTGGGCTGCCTGGTTTCTCTCGCTCTCTCCTGGTGCCCTCCTCACCCCCAGCTTCCCCTGTGCCCTGGAGATCTGGTGTTCAGGCTGTGCTAATGCTGGGGCTTGGCCCGCCTTCCCCCTGCTCCCACCAGGACGCTCTATAAGATCCTGGACAGCTGCAAACAGCTGACTCTGGCCCAGGGGGCAGGTGAGGAGGACCCGAGTGGCATGGTGACCATCATCACAGGCCTTCCACTGGACAACCCCAGCACGCTCTCAGGCCCTATGCAGGTGGGTCATGGGGTGATGTTTGGCAGTGTGGAATGGGGAAGAGGTACCGGTGTCGACTCCCTCAGACCAGACAGCTGCCCTTTTCCTCTTCCATCACCCCTTCCCCAGCCCCTCAACGACTTGTCCCAGAGTTTGGGAGGTCAGGCCCTCCTCCATTTGTCCTCCCCCCAATTCTACAGGCAGCCTTGCAGGCCGCTGCACATGCCAGTGTGGACATCAAGAATGTTCTGGACTTCTACAAGCAGTGGAAGGAGATTGGTTGAGACCGACCCCCAGGCCCTGCAGCGGGGCTGACTCCAGATCTCTCCTGCCCTCCCTGGCAGCCAGGACCACCACCTGTAGTCACCCCACCACACGCAGACTCACGCACGCACACAGGAAGGAAGCCCAGCTGCACACAGGCTGCAGGGAGGGCCCAGGAGCCAGCTGGGAGGGCGGGGTCCCCCTGTTGCCAAGACGACGTCAGGAAAGCAAGGAAAGTGCTTGGAGCAGGAGAGGCCTGTGGGCCCCTAGCCAGCCTTCCTGCCTCAGCCCCCCTGCTTTCCCCAGGGGCAGGTGGCAGGCACGGGTGTCTGCGTTTCGTTGGAGTGGTTCCTGGACCTCTGAGGGGAAGGGACAGCAGAAGGGGCCCTTCTTCCTCACCCAAGACGCAGGGTGGTTGGTGCCAGGAGTTTGGGCCCTCTGGGCCTGGGGGTAGAGTTGGGTAACACCAGGTGTCTGGGTGGTTCTCTGCAGACCCTTCCTCTCCTTGAGGACCACCCATCCCCCTCTCATCTCCCTTTGCAGGGGCTGGGCAGCTCTGGAGCCTTGGGGACTCTTAAGGAAGAGGGGCCTGGAGCTGCCTGCACCAGTAGCAGGGCAGGGCTTAGATCCCCTCCTCCTGCTGCAGGGGATGCACACCCATTGCCCCACTTCTGTTTTCTGTCTCCCTTCGTCTAGCTTCCAGGGCAGGGAGCAGGCCCACAACGGCTGCAGGCAGTCTGGCCTATATGCCAGTGAGGGCTTCTGTGCCCGCCAGCCCCATGGTCACTGCGCTTTGTGCTCTGGGCTGCTGTGCTGGGACAGAGTGGGATGCCAGTAAGAGGAGAGAGGGGTGAAGTTTGAGGCCACAACCCCCCTTACTATCTAGGGAGGGGCCTGTGTTCGCATGGACAGCAGAAAGGAGAGGCCCCTTGAAGCTGCCCGCCCAGGGACCCTCTGACCTGATGGGCTTCCCTACTTTTGTCCTTCCCCGGGACTAAAGGCCTGGAGGAGCTGAGCATGGGGCTAGCTTCTGGAGTGTTGAGGTGAATGTGAGAGCAGAGATCACGAATAGCTCAGGGCAGTGAGTGGAGCAGCAAGAGTGGGGCTGAGTGTGGGAGGCTTTGGCCAGGATTGCCTCGGCCCCTCCCGCTCGGGCTGCACATACAGCTCGGGCTGGGGGTTGAGGGTCGGGGATCTCAGCTCTGCTGTTCCCCACCCCAGCACTAGCCTAGCTTCCCAGACTGTTCTCGGAGGAGAACTGGCTGCCTGCCTCCTTCCTCTAAGACAGCAAGTCTGGGACAACCTGGGGGGAGTGGGATCACCCCCACTTCCAGTCCCTGGCAGAGGCTGAGACTAAAGCATCGCTTAATAAAGACCCCCAGAAGTCCACTCCTTGTCTCCTGGTGCCTTTCTGTACAATTTTATTGGGACATGGGAGATTACGTACTGAAATGGCAGTTTGGAAAGGTTTCTTTGAGGTGGCCCAGTTGAAGCAAGTAACCAGCAGTTGGAGCACAAACTCCAGAGATGGTTTTGATAGATGTGAAGTTCATTGAACTGAGCTGCTGCCTTCACAAGGGTGATAGGTGAAAACAATATACAGATGATCCTGAACAATATGAGGTTTTAGGGCGCTGACCCCTATGCAAGCAAAAATCTGCACTTGATTTTACAGTCTGCCCTCTGTATCTGCAGTTCCACATCCATGATTCAACCAACTGGGGACCGTGTAGTACTGAGTACATATTTAGTGAAAGAAAGCTGCATATAAACGCAGTTCAAACCTATGTTCAAGGGTCAACTATTTTGAAGGCTACATTGCTCCCTGGGGGTGGTTTGCGGTTTTCAGCTGGGTCCTCTGAATCAGGGAGAAACTTCCTCAATGGAGAGGTGAGGGTGAACCTTGAAACCAGCCTCTGAGTCTTCAACCCCATCCCTCCGCAAGGACTGACACCTCAAGTGTGTCTGGGGAGTGGAGAAGCTTGGTGAACCCCTCGAGGTTGAACCAACATTTTACCAAATGCATTTGCTCTGGATTCTGCCCAGCACCAGGCGCTGAGAGGCAGCGAAGCACAGTGAGAAGAGGTTTCGGAGAATTCATATTCAGGGTTTGGATGCCTCTGCCCAGCTTGAGGCAGAGCCACTCTCAGCTCCTGGGAGAGCCTGGAACCCTGGAGCCGTGGAGCAGCCTGGTCTGAGGGGGGCGCTCTGCACCACCCTGGCTGCATCCTGGCTAGGGCCCTGGCCTCTTCCGGCCAGTCCGCTCTCAGTGGGGTGGGGTCAAGCTGTAGGGGTTGGCTGTGCGCTGGAGCCCGAGTGAGCTGCCTGCTAATGGGGCTGGGCCACCCCGCACTGCTCTCTGGAGGCTGGACAAGGCTGGGATTGTTCTCTGGCTCCCCTTTGTCTCCCACTCCCCGCCCAGGCCTGGCCCGCCTGCCCGCCACTCTCTTCTCCCTCCCATTGGCCCGGCTGGCAAGAGCCAGGGACTCCACCCGTGGAGCCCGGGGCCTGCCGACCCACCAGCTTAGGAGCGCCCATCAAACTCTGGGTAAGGAAGCTCACCTGGGGCCAAGACGCCCGTTCTGGGGAACTAGAGGCCGCTCGCCTGCTCCGGCCGGCCCCTCCCCCATTTCCATGGCTACAGCGCAAACTCTACTTCAGAGACCTCTGAACCCCAGTGCTGAGGGAAGGGACCCTGAGGGGAGCTAGACGCCAGCATCTTCCTGGTCCACCCTTCCCCCAGGCAGCTTGGGCCGCACTCAGGATAGGTCAGAATACCCCCATCCCACTTCCGGGAGGGGTCATCTTAGTTTCTTTTTGTTTTTTGGCTGCGCCCCGAGGCCTGTGGTAGCGGGATCTTAGCTCCCCGACCCGGGATCAAACCCAGGCCCTCGGCAGTGAAAGCACAGAGTCCTAACCACTGGACCGCCAGGGAATTCCCAGGGTCATCTATCAAATCTCAGCCAGGGTACAGGGACTAGGGACCAGGTCGGCCTTGTGCCCAGCAGGGTCCCCAGCACCCAGCTCAAGGGCAGAGGGCCCCCAAAATGTTGAAAGGCAGGAACGGAGGCTTGGGGTTCAGGCTGGCGGTGTGAGGGCCCAGAGTGTGTGCGGAGCAAACATGCACACAGAGAGTAGGCAAAGCGATGACAGGAAGAGGCACGGGGCGGGGCTGGAAAGTTTTGGCCTGGAGAGGTGGGAGGAGTGTCCTGTTCTCCCTCCTCCTGGGGCAGCTCCACCCGCCCTGGTGGCCCAGCCCATCCGCTTGTGCCAAGGAATGTGCCTGGGAGAGGCGGCCTGAGAGGCGGGCAGGCGGGCAGCAAAGCTGCGGCCACCCGGAGGCAGCACACAGGTCTGAGGCTGAGGGGCCGGGGCTCAGGTGGGGCAGGGACCCCAAATGCCCCCCCGGGGCACAAGTGTAGTCTTCAGAGAAGAGCCAGGCATCCCCCTAATTCCTTGTTCCACCGGTAGGCATCTGGCCTCTCCAAGAATTCTCCCTGAGCACCCTAAGTTTTCTGTGCTCAGCCCAGGCACTGTGAGCCAAGGGGCTTTCTGGTGCTGGCGATGGCGGTGGTGGTGTGTACTTAGGCTCTCTCTGTGCTGTCCTCCGTAAGTCAGGGTTCTTCTGAGACAAAAACTGGGGGTTGGGGACCTGGCTCCAGGGTCCAGGGTTACTGAGGCAGCCTTCTGGCTGAGGAGGACCCTCCGCTCCTTGCTGAGTCGAGGCTGACCAGCCCCTCTCAATGGGGGAACTAAATAGCCCCCAGGCTAGGCTGGGGAGGGGTTGGGGTTATGACCACTGGGGAAGCTGGGCCAGCCTCCCCTGGCCTGAAGGAAGCAGCTTGGTGGCCAGCTACCACCCGCATGCATGCCCGTGTACACAGCCTACCCTGGGACTCAGTGACCAGGTTCAGCCTGGACCTGGGCGAAAAGGGACCTGTGGATGGGGGCAGATACCTAATTCCCCCCCCCCCGCCCTTTGTCTCTAGGTCAACGTGGAGGTGCCGGGCCACCATGCTCAGTCTCAAGCTGCCCCAGCTCCTTCGCGTCCACCAGGTCCCCAGGGTGAGGGATTCACCGACTCCTACTTCTCAGGGGACTGGCTGGGGCAAAGTTTCTTCTCTTTTTGCAAGTGCAGAAGTCCCTGCTCTAGGCTAACTCTTATCCCTGCCGTTTCAGTGTGGGACTCTTCTGCTCTCTAAGGAACAGGCTTGTGACCTGCTCCCTAGAGCCCAGAACACTCTTTTATCCAGAGTCGGCTTCCTCAGAGCACCCTGTGTCCATCCTATCTTGTCCCCTTACTCTGCCTCTTCTGTTTCTCACCTGCTCTCTGGGTACTGGAAACTGTGGTGAGATGGGGTTGGATTTAGTTTGACTTTGGGGCCATTGTGATCTCCAGCCCATTCCCTTCCACCCTGCTTCCAGAGAAAGGGTGGGACACAGTGGAGTCCCTTGGAGAGAAAGGGTGGGACACAGTGACTCCTCTCCTCCCCTGCCCCCCACAACCCCAGGTGTTCTGGGAAGATGGTATCATGTCTGGCTACCGCCGCCCCACCAGCTCGGCCTTGGACTGTGTCCTCAGCTCCTTCCAGATGACCAACGAGACCGTCAACATCTGGACTCACTTCCTGCCCACCTGGTGAGGGAGGCTCTGTCCCAGGCTTGGGCCTCGAGCTCAAGGGGGTACTCAGGCGGACCGGGACCGTCCGGGCCCGCGGGCTGCACTGGGAGTCGCTGGGGGTCCGGTGGCCTGAGCACGTGCCTGCCGCAGGTACTTCCTGTGGCGCCTCCTGGCGCTGGCGGGAGGCCAGGGCTTCCGGTCGGAGCCCTACCACTGGCCGCTGCTCGTCTTCCTGCTGCCCGCCTGCCTCTACCCGTTTGCGTCGTGCTGCGCGCACACCTTCAGCTCCATGTCACCCCGCGCGCGTCACATCTGCTACTTCCTGGACTACGGCGCGCTCAGCCTCTACAGCCTGGGTGAGCCCCGCGGCAGAGGCTGGGGCGGTGGGCAGGGGGGCGGGGGCGTTCCGGGGCGGGGCGGGGGTGTGGCGCGGGGGTCTCCGGGGCGGGGCCTCAGCTCCCCTCCCCCGCCCCCCCCGCCCCGCCAGGCTGCGCCTTCCCCTATGCCGCCTACTCCATGCCGGCCTCCTGGCTGCACAGCCGCCTGCACCAGCTATTTGTACCCGCCGCCGCACTCAATTCTTTCCTGTGCACCGGCCTCTCCTGCTACTCCCGGTGGGTTCTCGGCCAGTGGTGAAGGGGAAGGCGGAGGGACAGGACAGAGCACCCACAAACACCTGGACACCCAGGACCACTGGGGTGTGCCTGCGTTTCACTGCTCTTGAACAACATTGGTAACAATGGGACCGTTTATTGAGGACTTCCTGTGCCCAGACCCTGTGCACCAGCACCATCCCTGCGCTGCCTCTAACTCTCACAGCCACCTAAGAGGCAGGTGTCTATCCCCGTCTAACAGCTGTTGTCACTCACAGAGAAGTCATGTGGCCTAAGGGCTTTCATAGCCACTAAGCTACACTGACATTCCATCTTGGCCAAAGGTCCCCTGCCCTCCTCTGACCCCCACCCCAGCATAAGGATGGTGACCAGCCTTTCACTCCCGCCTCCCAGGTTCCCCGAGCTAGAAAGCCCTGCGCTCAGTAAGATCCTCCGCACGGCTGCCTTCACCTATCCCTTTCTGTTCGACAACCTCCCGCTCTTCTATCGGGTAAGGCTCCTGCTTTCCTGTCCTGACCCTCACAGTGCCCACCCCCAGCCCTGCCCCCTCGATCCCTGACTCAGCCCTGCTGCCCACCCTCCTAGCCCAGCACCCAGTCCAGCTGTGCCCTCCCCCTCCTCATCCTCACCAGACCCCAGACACATGATGTCCACCCCCAAAGCCCCTCCCCGTCAACCTTGCTTTTCCTTTGCCAGCTCGGACTGTGCTGGGGCAGGGGCCACAGCTGTGGGCAGGAGGCACTGAGCACCAGCCACGGCTACCACCTCTTCTGCGCGTTGCTCACTGGCTTCCTCTTTGCCTCCCACCTGCCTGAGCGGCTGGCACCAGGACGCTTTGATTACATCGGTGAGAGCAGACCTGGCCTGGCCCAGGAGGGGATGGGGAGACAGCTCCCCAGAGCACAGAGTGAACTGAGTAAAGGAGAGTATTCCTGGCAGGGCCCTCAGGGTCCAGGCCCAGCCCCAGTCCTCAGATAACAACAAAACCAGCAGCCTGTAGGCCAGGGGCTCTGTGCACAGCAGCTCACTCACTCTTGCCAATAACTCTGGGAATTGGGTTTCTTATTCCCAGTTTTAGGGGAGTAGCAGGCCCAGAGGATGTGGTGCTCACCATGGGTCACAGGATGAGTTGGGGCAGCCCTGGGGATGGGGTATGTGCCCTCACCTGCCCATCCTCCCCACAGGCCACAGCCACCAGCTATTCCACATCTGTGCAGTGCTGGGCACACACTTCCAGCTGGAGGCGGTGCTGGCTGATATGGGATCTCGCCGAGCCTGGCTGGCCATGCAGGAACCGCCGCTGGGCCTGGCGGGCACAGTGGCCACACTGGGCTTGGCAGTGGCCGGGAACCTGCTCATCATTGCTGCTTTCACAGCTTCCCTATTTCGGGCTCCCAGTACGTGCCCCCTGCTGCAGGGTGGCCCGCTGGAGAGGAATACAAAGGCCAAACTACAGTGAGGCCCCAGCTCTGAGCCTGCCCTGGAGGGAAGCAGAGGCCAGGCGCACCGCCCCCCCCCGCCCCCCCCCCTCCCCCCCGTGCTGGGGAGGAGCCCAGACCCAGGCCTGCTTAGACGGGGGCACTTCTTAGCCTGGAACCAAGAGGAGTGGCTGAGGAGAGAGTGCGGAGATCAGAAGGCAGAGGAGAGGAGAGGGGCTGGGAGGCTGGTAGAGAGTAGGAGGGTCAGGAGGGTGCTCTTGATGGGGCTGGGGGAAGTGCTGAGGGTCTGAGAGGGGAGGTGCGTGTGTCCAGGCTGGAGCTGCCCCACCTGCCATCGAAGGCTGGGATGGGGAGGTGTTGGGCCCTTTCATCTGGTCCCATCTCTGGTGCTCCTGGAGTTTCTGCTCAGCCCAGGCAAGAACTAACATGACTAACCCAGGCCCATCCTGAATGCTTATTAACCAGGCCAGGAGGCCCGCTACTGCCCCCACCCCCAAACCAGGCAGTACCATCTACCGGAAGCTCTTTGCCTATGGCGATGAGGCTGTCTGTCCTGGTCACAGCCGTATACTCCAGGCGTCCAGGCCTTTGGGATCTGGTCTATTTGGGTGTGTCACGGATGGGGCAGTGGGTTGAGGTGGGGGAGGGTGCTGGGCTAGAGAGGAGAACCCTATTTAGACTTTAGGAAGCCACCTTCAATGCTTCTGGACTGAGGCAGGGATAAATAAATAACTCAACAACAGATTTTGGGAAGCACTTTCTGGGACTGAAAAAGGTAAAACCTCCTCTCCACTCCCCATCCTCCCAATACCTCCTCCTCACACTCCATAGATGGACAAAGAATCACAGCCCCACCAGTTCCTCTTCCGGAGTTTATTCTGGAGCAGCTGGGATGATGCTCCCAGCTGCTGGGATCTCACACTTGCCGGGCAGGGAGGTCAGGGAGAGGGGAGGGGGAGGGGTCCCGGAGAGGAGGCAGAGCTGGGGGCTGCCAGCCAGGCCGTCAGGGCTGAGAGCTCTAGGCTGTGCCGTATAAGCGCCGATAGGCCTCCTGGAAGCCAATGTGGTCAGCCAGCTCGTCACAGGCGGGGTTGAGCTCACACACCTCCCTCCTGGGCTCCAGCGGATCTGGGTAGGGGGCTGGGGCTCTGAGAGCCCAACACACTGGCATCAGCCTCCATGCAAAATGCCCGCCCCTCCTCCCACTGCGCTTGGGGCTCCAGAGTCCTCCCACAGCGGCCGCTCCTCCCAGCCCATCCTGGAGATGCAGGGCCCTGGCCCAGCACCTCCTTTTCTCTCACCCCAGCCCATGATCCAGGTAGCGCCTGAGTCTCTTCACCACCTCGCTGCCCTCCTGCTTGGACACAAAGGCTGTGGAGCAGAGGGTCAGGGGTCAGGTGACTCCGAGTTTGGGTGGACAAGGTGGGGAGTAGGCTGGCCTTCCTGAGAGCCAGATGGGACGGGGCAGGAGGGGAGAATGGGACTGAGGGGACCAGGGTGAGACAGGGGTGCTGGGAGTGGGCAGCACCATTGAGTGATACAGGGCACAGCTTCCCATCAGGCCCTGCCTCATACCTGCACCTTTGCCAGACTCCTCATCTCTGGGCTTTGCATCTGCAAGAAAAAGGAGCCCAGTTCACCCCTGCTCATCCCTAGGGCTCTCCCTCTCCTCCCCTCTCCCCTCCTCTCCCTCCACAAGGACAGCAGTGGGGGCAAATGGACTGAGCCCACAGAAGGGTGGTTAGACTGCCAATAGGGACTGCCAGTGGAAGGGGTGAGGAGAGGTGAGGCCATGGTGCTTTCCCCTCACAGCTCCCGCGGGCTGGGGCAGGGGTAGGGGCACTCACCTGCCCAGCCAGCGAGGCAGAGTGTGGCCAGGGCCAGTAGGGCGAGGAACATGAGGGGTCTCATGGTGTGTCTGTCAGCGGCTGTGCTAGGGCTGCTGCTCAGGACTCAGCTGGTCTGCCCCTCCCAGCCTCCAGCACTGTTTTATACTCTCTGGGCTGTGCCCCAGAGGCAAGGGTGCGGGCGGGTCTTGGGGGAATCTACCAGGGCTATTTGGGGGTCAACCGCCTAGGCCAAGCCCCAAAGGATGTTGTGGTTGGAGCTGCGGCTGCCTGGGCAGGCCCCTGGGAGTGATGGAGGAAGGTGGGCCTCAGTCCAAGACTGCCAGCCTCCAGACAAGGTCCCCAGCCCCTCCTCAAGGGGGTTGCCCCAGGTCTCCCAGCCCCTACTCACTCTCCCTCGGAGCCCCAGCCTCAGTTTGAGCACCAGCGGGGCAGACCGGGAGGGGTAGGAGGGGGAGCCTAGAGAGGAAGGGGGGCCCAGAGGTCCAAAATAGATTTGCACAAAGCTGGGCTACAGCCTCCCACAGGCTGATTTCCACTGTCAGCCCTGTGGGCAGGAGCCAAACTCAGTGAGGGAGGGCCAATGCCCTCATTCACCCCGAGGGCCTCTGCCCCAGAGAGACCTCAACAGCAGGCCTGGCATGGGGGCGGCTCGACTCTGCTCAGGCCCTGAGCCTTGGGATGGGGGAAGGGGTTGGGGCAGCACAGGGCCAAGAGCCAAAAGCCAACACAGGTGTGGCCAGGTGTGAGGTAAGGACAGCCCTTCTGTCTGCGACTGGCCAGGTGGGCACTGAGGTGGGAACCCCCTTCCCCATGCCCCTCGCACCTCTGAGCTCCTGACCGCCCCACCCCGATCCTTTTCCTGCCCTCACAGCCTCCCCACTGCCAACAACCCTGGGGACCTGTCCTCCGAGGGGCAGAACATCCAGCCTGAAAAGCCCCACCCCAGACCTGAAAGCCACTTCTGCCTCAGCTCAGCCTGGAGAAGAGGGAGGGTGTCCTCCCCCACCACCCACTCACCAGGTGGAGACCTGCCAGACGAAGCACTGCTGCCTCCACCCCACGGCCGGTGGCTGGATGTTTAGGCGTGTCCAGGAGGAGAGAGGAGCCACTAGGCTCAACTTGGGGGGGGTGGGGTTGATGATCAGGGACCACCCTGCCATCTTCCCGAGTGTCCCCGCTGCTCCTAGACAGACCCAACCAGGCCTCTCTCTACAGAGTTAGGGTGAAGCCCTTGCCAGGGAAGAAAGTTCTGCCCCCACCCACACCCACTCCCTTCACCCTCCAGTCTGGAGGAAACACCCACCCTGCCTTTGGCTAAGTCACTCCTGATGCCCTGTGGCCCTGGCTGGGGAAGAGGGGGTTGTGAGAAGCCGGAGGACAAAGCCCCAGCCATTTGGAGGGCCCACTTGCTCCATGTTCGAGCACTCACCAGGCGCAAACAAACACCTAGGGAGGCCCACCATAGAGCCTCTCAGAATCAACCCAAGGCAAAGAGAAGGGCAGGCGCATGGACAGAGTGACAACCCCCCGGAAGCTTGTCCTGGCCTCAGGGAACCCAAGGCTCCTGGTTTCTGTGACAAGGGGCTTCACTGCCCTTCCATACATGATGGTCAGATACACCCCCCACCAACCCTCCCCAGCCTGGAGGCTCTCAGAGCCCTGCAACTGGGGCCTCGACTGGAGCCAGGACTCTGGAGTCCAGGGTGGGATCTTGGCCCAGGAGAGTCCTGGGAGAGGCCCAGGCAGAGGGAGCATCCTCACAGATTACAGTGTAGTGGAGGAAGTTTATTTGCGGATGTGGAGAGAACATGGCAAGGGCCCTTGGGCTGGCCAGCAAGGGGGCAATCAGTGGAAACTGAATACAGATTCCCCAAGCCAGGTCCTAGGGAGGGCTCAGGAATAGGCGATATGTGTGATGGGGGTAGGGTGGGGGGTTGGCCTGAACCTAAAGGAGAGGCAGCATGGTGCCTAATTCCCAGGGCGGGAGCTGGCCAAGAATCCTAAAGTTAGAAGAAAACAGTGAGGAATCTGAAGGTAGTGTGTGTTTTTGACCCCAAGGGAGCCCCAGAGGCACAATGGCAGTGGAGACAGCTGAGGCCTCCTTCTCCGGCAAATTTCATCACTGCTTAGGGACTGTTCTCGGAGGCAGCTCACTCAGGCTCAGCATCCTGGACCACAGGCCCTTGACCTTGACTGCCCTCTGCTCCTGGGCCGGGCCCTCTCCTCCTCACTCAGGCTCCCTCAGCACGGCCACCAGCTCCTTCTGTTCTCTGTGTAGAGCCTGACATCAATGAGAGAGAACAGACAGACTGGGAGATGAGAAAATCCAAACCCTTTCCCTCTACTGTCCTTGACTCCAGGCCTGGGTTTCCCCCAGGATGATAAGGAAGGGGTCTGAAACTCATATCACAGGCCCAGCAAGGCATATTAGGAAATCCGCCCCACTCAGCAGTTGTTTATGGCAGGCTGGGTGCCATGGCCACCTAGGCTGGGCCTCCCCAGAGAAGAGCCAATTTTCAAAAAGGGCCCCTTAAGTGTCCCCCGATCCTCTGACCTCACTGCAGATTTCTAGCAGAGAAACTTTCTTAAATTAAGTGGACTTGCAGCTGGGCTACAGACATGGGAATTGTAGTGAAAAAGGGCTCTTTGAGCCCACACGGGGCTCAGCACTCAACACTCAATCCAGCTGACCCACTTCAAACAATGGTTAGCATCTGTAGCTGTAATGGGAGAGGTGTGGCTATAAGAGCAGGGGGCTTCCTTCTTCCTCTTAAAATAGAAGCACTGAATGTCAGAGCCGGCAGGGCGCTGGGGATCACTATTTGGCCAATTTGGAAGCCAAAGCCTAGACAGGGGAGTGACCCTTGGCCTCATGGTGATGAAGCGCCAATGGCAGAGCTGCCGGAGGACTCAGCAAGGCAGCCCCGAGAGTACCCGAGACACAACTCTCAACTGTGGAACCTGTCCCAGGAGACGGCACTAGGCTGAGGCCTCGGTTACACCACCTGGGTGTCTGCTGTGTAGGGCCTGGGCCACCACACTACACTACACTACACTACACACTCCCAGGGCCAGTGTGTTACAGGAGGAGGCTGAGGGGGTGAAGATAAGAGGAAGCAGAGCAAGGCACCAGCCTTTCTCCTGCTGCCGCCTCCCTGAGGCTTGGGGCCTTGCTGAGGCTGGGGCAGGGCCTTCAGATTGCCCCTGACTGGTCTTGGGAAGAAGACCAGGGGACCTGAGAGCCATGGATCTGGGGACTTATTCCCCTCAGGAATAGGAGGGTCTGCCCCAGGAAGGGAGCTGTCGAGTGGCCACAGGTAAACGTAAGTTGGACATCTAAATGATGAGGAGAACCCAATAATGGGCCACCGTTCAAGCCCCACTAGAAACCCTCTTTTGGAACTACATTTTGAGCTGGCGAGAAAATCCATCTCATCACTCTGTAGCCACATGTGCTATCTGCGTCACCCAGCCTGATTACTCTCTTCCCCCTTATTCACCAACTTGGCCCCAAGTGACTGTGGGCCACTTTCAGAAATTGAGTTCACCCTCAAAGGACACATATTTGTTGCATGGAGGATATGTCTTAGGTATGTTGACGGCTCTAGAAGTCATTCTGCTGTACACATTTTAAAAGTACTGGGCAGTGATCACATGGAGTAGAACCACCATGGCTACAGAGGATTAACCCTGATCCTGACATGGAGGAGCCATCCCTGGGCAAGTCACTTGCCCTCCCTGGGCCCGTTTTCTCCTCGGCTGCAGCGGAGCACGTGCCTGAGGGCAGGGCCGGGACACTCACCTGCCAGGCCTGCTGCCGGGCCTGGCCCTGCAGCTGCAGCTCCTCCACCTGCCTGCGCCCGGCCAGGACGGCATCTGCCAGCTGCCTGTTCTCGGCCTCCTGTTTCTGCACACGGCGCTGCAGGGCGTCCCGCTGCTGCAGAAAGTAGGGCACCACAGCGCTGCACAGGTCCTTCTCTGGGATCCCACTAGGGCGCCTGCAGGGCCGCAGGGGGCGCAGGGGTGGGGACAGAGAGTCGTTGTGTGGGGTAAGGCTTCTCCTTCCAAACCCAGCCAGTGGCATTCCCACCTTCAGCCTCCAGCTGGCTGGCTCTCCAGGACTCTCCTGCAGTCCCTCGCACTCCCAAGATCCAACCGCATGGCTCCTGCTCCTGAGGGGACGCTAACCCCTTGTCCCTTAGCTTCAGCTCCCAGGAACCCATCTCTCCTCTTCTCACCAACCCACACCTTAGCCCTCCTCCTCATCCACAGACACTCCCTCCAGCTGTAAACCTCCAGGGCTGGAGATGATTTCCTCGGTCCTTGTGACCATGTGCCTTGCTGGTGCATCCACACCATGGGACTGTGAGCTGGAGAGATGGGGGAAGGTGGTGGCCTGAGAGCAGGCCCAGACCCCAAGAGGCCCTGGCTGGCTAATGTGAGAAGATAAAGGAAAGACAGGTCTGAGGAGGCAAGAGTTTAGGGGGTGCTGAGTGCCCAGTGTGAGGAGATAGGCCAGTTCTGATGGGCAGTGGGGTAGAAGCCACTGTAGGTTCTTTAAAAATTCCTTCTCAGTTATAAAAGTTAATTCTCTTAAGTTATGAATGTCACAAAGCATTAGCAAATTGAAAAGCACAAAAAAGGTTTTTACTCCTCCTGACCTAGGATTCTACTCAGGCAGGAAATGGAGGCAGGAGGCAGGAGCTCAGGCCACTTGCCATCTCGGTGGCCTCAACTCTCCACTCCTGTCCCCAGGGCCTCCTTCTCCATCCTGCCCAGAACAACCTGGCAGCAGGGCTGCCCACTGGAATGACAGCCCCGGGAGAGAAGGTCTTTCGTGTCTTAGTCGCTGCTGAATCTCTGGCATCTACAACAGTATTAGGCGTATAGTAAGTGCTTCTAAGTGTTTGTTGAATGAACAAATGAATAAAAACCAGATGCCTGGGCCAGACTAATCGACATAAGACTCCAAACCTCGCTATTATGCCTCATCCCACTCCCTCTACCCTCTCTCTTGCAGGCCAGATGGGTCCTGAAATGAGCTCCCTGGGAAGATTTCTCTCATCCCAGTCACCTCAACCCCCTGGACTACATGCGCTTGCCCCCAGCTCTCCTGCCCCAGAGGGGCTATGCATTTGTCTCTCTGTTCTGGGTCACTGTTTGGTGTTGGTCCTCTCCACCTGTCCATGCGGGGGGGCAGGCATCACCCTTCTCACCAAGCCGGCTCCTCGCAGTCCTTGCTTCCTTCCACAATCGCATCCAGCGCATTCAGGACAGCTTCCAGGTTTCCCTCGGCTTTGATTTCAGAGATTTCCTCCTGAAAAGAGGAAAGAGCTATAGTAATACCAGACAACTCCATATGCTGAACTACTAACGGCACTTAGTAAAATTTTAGCTAATTTAAGTTCTGTCTTTATACAAACATTCCAACTTTTCTACATGTGACTTTTATAATTAAGAAAATAAAGTATAAAATAGAATACATTTAAAAAGAGCCTGCAGCAAGCCTCTCCTCCTGCACATCATCTCTGAAGGCTGCATCCCTGCTGTTGTCCCCACAGCTGAGCACCCTTTGCGGACAGCACACATACATTCTGATGCTTAACGAAGCCCATCCTGGAGTGTGACAGCATGGAAGTTAAACTCCCAAGAGGGATCACTTAAAGACAGGAATGGAATCCTGTCCTTTTCTGTATCCCCTCCGGTATGCAGTTCCAATGAATTCAACAATTTGCTAAATGCCTCCTCTGTGCCAGGCTCTGCACCAGGTGCTGGAGAAACACAGAGGAGTAGACCCAGGCGTGCCCTCGCTGAGCTCACAAGGTCAGGTGCGACAACAACTATAAACTCAATTACAACACAGGGCAATGAGACAAGAGGCATTCAAGATACCCCTGCCATTTGGAGGGAACGGATGATAGCCACTGCAGCCTGGGGGCACAGAGGACAGTTTCAGGGACTGAGGATAGAGAGGGGCTGACGGCAGGGTCCCTGCCTTCAGAGGGCTGACGATCTGGAGGCAGGACCCGAGCCAATAGTACCTGCTGGGCTTCTTGCCACTCACCTGGATAGATGTCTGCAACTGAGTTACAAACTTGTCATAGATGCGCCGTGTCATCTCAGGCTGCAACTGGTAGAAGCACTTGTAACAGTCAGTGAATCTCTGGTAGCTGGGGGTAAGGAGAGAAGGCAAAGGTTGGGGGGTTCAGAGTCATAGGCTCTTCTTGCCTGGGCAGCCCTGCCCCTCATCACAGGACTCTGAGCCTTGTCTCCTTCATGGTGCTGGTTAAAGGCAGTAGATGCAAAGTGTCTCATCTGCAGCTCCAGTCTCTGAGGATGGCTCAGCCCCACCAGTCTCCCCACTTCCTCTCAGCAGAGCCCCAGTTGAGTTCACCCTCTGAAGGGTGGGTCACAATTAGGCCAGCCGTGGTTCTTAAACTTGACCTTACCAAGCACCAAATCACCAGGAGAGCTTGTTAAAACTCAGATCGCTGGGCCCCACCCCCTCAGTTTTGAACAAGCTCCAAGGTGCTGCTGGTGCTGCTGGTCTGGGCACTCCACTTTGAGAAGCTCTGGTCATCCTAGTCCCCTTGCAGGGCTGCGTTAGGACAGGACATGTGGTCTCTGGGAGAGGTTTCCTTACTCCTAAAAAGAGCCACACCGGAAGGAACTGATGTCTGTAGGGCATGACTATATCCAGGTGATGCCTCTAGCTCCCAGCAACCATGGAGGGCCTGGTCTGAGAGCAAAGTTTCTACCCTAAGGAGGCAGAGCAGAAGGAGGAAAGAAGCCGGGTCTCTGAGAATATCGTCAAGCTGCTGAAAACACCCACCTGGAGCAACCCTACCTTGGGGCTTCTTGTTAGTGAGCTAGTGGATTTCTCTTATTGTTCACACCATTTAAAATCAGGTCTCTGTCACTTGGCAGCAGATACACCCCTTGTAGCTGGAAAGGTCAAAGGGTACCCAGTACACTGCCAACGGCTTGTTCTTCTTGGAAAAAGAAACTCAAATAAGGTAAATGGCTGTCTCCTCTCCCTCCTCATTTTTGTGCGTGTCTCTCAGCCTGCTCTCTCAGGCCCTTCCCCTCCACAAGTGTTCACTGAGCACCTGCTATGTGCTGGGTGCTCCGGGTCAGTGAGACTGGCCCGGCCCTCCTAGAGCTTCCAGTAGAGGAAGAGATGGCAGCAAACATAGAAACTCACATGTGAATGTGGAGAAGATTACTTGTGGAGAGTGCCTGGAAGGAAAAGGACCAGGGTCATGGGGCTGAGAGTGTGTACCATGGGGATCACCTCTAAGTGGGGAGGTGGTCGGTGAAGCCCTCTCTGATGAAGCAATGTTCAAGGGACCGGTGAAAAGTGTCTGAGGAGGAGTCCTGGAACACAAAAAACCCACCCTGACGCTTCGCTATGGGCCCAGATACCCCTCAGCCATGTGAGCCAGGCTGCTGGGCTCTGGACAAACAGGGGGTTAGGTACCTGGAACCCCATGCATAGCCCCCACCACACCCAGGGAGTCACTACTGGGTCCTCCTTTTCTCATGGCTCTTTGGGCCTCCTGGCCTAATTCCTACCCCCAAAACAATGTCTTCTGAAACAGGTGCAGTGTGAGAGCAGTGGTGTGCTGAGGCCAGCTCACAGTGGCTTGCAAGAGATAACCGTTAAATTTCCAGGAAATCTGTGAGCCAGTTGTTAAACACAGCCATTACTGAAAATTAAATTATACAAAGTTACAATAAATTATATTAAAAACAAAGGTACCGGGACGTCCCTGGTGGGGCAGCGGTTAAGAATCCGCCTGCCAATGCAGGGGACATGGGTTCGAGCCCTGGTCCAGGAAGATCCCACATGCCGCAGAGCAACTAAGCCCGTGAGCCACAACTACTGAGCCCACGTGCCACAACTACTGAAGCCCGCGCACTTAGAGCCTGTGCTCCGCAACAAGAGAAGCCACCGCAATGAGAAGCCCACACACTGCAACAAAGAGTAGCCCCCGCTAGCCACAACTAGAGAAAGCCTGCACACAGCAACGAAGACCCAACGCAGCCAAAAATAAATAAATTAAATAAATAAATTTATTTAAAAAAAAAAAGATACTAACTGCTCAAAACATATGACTTCCTAATCATTCTACACATTTTACTCTGCTCTGGAAGCTGTTTCCATCTATGGTCTCGATCTGTGGAAACAGGTGTGCTGCTGCCCATCTCTTCTCTACTGTGTGTAGTGATGCTACGCTGGTAAGCTTAGGAGTATTTACACCTCAGAAACTGGCAAACACTGCAAGCCAGGGCTTTATTTCAGGAGAGCTGGCTGTACGCACCTACCAGCACACCTCTGGGTAAGGGTGACAGTCTCTCATCCTTCTGAGGGTACACATTAGACATCAGTACCCCTTGGAGGCTAAACCTAGGTACCAAAAGGACAATACAAAGATGACAGGCATCATTTCAACCTGCAGCAGAGCCCCAGACATCTTGTTGTTTTGCCACTGACCCCACAAGCCACGCAGCCATGTGGCTACATGGAGGAATGTGGAGGGATACATGACACCTGACAAAGCACAGCTGGAATTGAAACCGGGTAATTGTGGCTTGAACTGGGTTTGGCTCAAACACGGGAGATCCTGTTCCTCCTCCCAGCCCACTCGCCAGGCACATCTGAGCTGGATGCATCTCCACCCAGTTCAGGCGGCTGGCAGCAGACAGGGCCCAGGGCAGGGGTGAGGATAATTCTGCCCACCAGTGCTGCCCGTCAACCCTTCTGAGACTTCAGTGAAAGTGAAGGACCCAGAAACATGTACACTGTTACAAACACACAAGATGGGAAACATATGCTCCAAGGACATGGAGGGAGAACAGCCAGGTTGGAGGTCAGGAGGAAAGTGATTTCTTTCCTTTTCTTTTTTTATTGGAATATAATTGCTTTACAATGTTGTGTTAGTTTCTGCTGTACAGTGAAGTGAATCAGCTATATGTATACATATATCCCATCCCTCTTGGACCTCCCTCCCCCCCATCCCGCCCATCTAGGTCATCACAGAGCACTGAGTTGAGCTCCCTGTGCTATACAGCAGGGTTCCCACTAGCTGTCTATTTTACACATGGTAGAGTATTTATGTCAAACCTAACCTCCCAATTCATCCTACCCTCCCCGTCCCCCACTGTGTCCACACGTCCGTTCTGTACGTCTGCGTTTCTATTCCTGCCCTGCAAATATATTCATCTGTACCATTTTTCTAGATTCCACATATATGCATTAATATATGGTATTAGTTTTTCTCTTTCTGACTTACTTCACTCTATATGACAGACTCTACGTCCATACACATCTCTACAAATGACCAAATTTCATTTCTTTTTATATAATATTCCACTGTATATATTTATATGTATATATTTATATGTATATATTCCACTGTATATATTTTATGTAATATTCCACTGTATATATTTACCACATCTTCTTTATCCATTCATCTATCGATGGACATTTAGGTTTCTTTTCTTCTAGTTTCATTGAGACATAATTGACATACAGCACCCTGTAAGTTTAAGGTATACAGCATAATGATTTGACTTAGATATATTGGTAAATGATGACCACAATAAGTGTGGTTAATATCCATCATCTCAAATAGAAACAAAAAAGAAGAAACAAAAGAAAAAAAAGGATTTTTCTTGTTATGAGAACTCGTAGGATCTACTTTTTTTTTTTTTTTTGCTGTACGCGGGCCTCTCACTGTTGTGGCCTCTCCCGTTGCGGAGCACAGGCTCCGGATGAGCAAGCTCAGCGGCCATGGCTCACGGGCCCAGCGGCTCCGCGGCATGTGGGATCCTCCCGGACCGGAGCACGAACCATGTCCCCTGCATTGGCAGGCGGACTCTCAACCACTGCGCCACCAGGAAAGCCCGGATCTACTTTCTTAACAGCTTTCACATATACTATACAGCAATGTTAACTGTAGTCATCAAGTTGTACGTTACATCCCTAGTACTTATTTATCTTATAACTGGAAGTTTGTATCTTTTGATCAACTTCATGAAATTCCCTCTCCCCCCAGCCCCCAGGGACTCCTTTCTTGGGAGACAATGCAGACCTGGGAATGCTGTGAATGCCCTTGTGAATTTCCCAAAAACATACATTCACAGAGAAACAGGAAAAGTGATGCATTTTAGAAAACATTCATTGCCACCCCCTCCAAATGTCAACTTTTATCTTCTCATGTAAACTCTAATGTCTTTGTGGATAGGGACGCCATCTGCAATGGTGCTGGGATTTCCAGGGTACCCAGAACAGTGTTAGATACATAGCACACTCAAGACATGCTGTAGACCAGGCAACTGGGGCTGAGCTGAGACCTGGGCTGCCTGGCCTCAGGCTTGGTCCATTCCCAGCCACCTCCCCTACCCTGGACCCCAGGGTACCAGGGCCTGGGCTACTTGGACAGAGCAGTCCTCTTCACAGAGCATCCCCAATGGCCCCTCTGCCAAGCCCCCCTTTGCCCTCTGCTGGAACGGTCTCCTGGCCTCGGCCTTCCAAGGGTACACAAGGGGCCATCCAGCTTTGTGCTGGGTAAGTGTACGGCTCTAAAGACTGCCTGTCCTTTTGCCTACGTTCAAATCCTACCTCTAGCCCTCATCAGCTGAGTGATCCTGGACAACTTCTTTACCTTTATAAGCATCAGTTTCCTCCTTTGTCAAATGGAGATAATAACTATCCATAAGTCACAAAATTACTGTGAGGATGAAATGAGGTTACATATATAAATACTTAGTACAGTGCAGAGCACACCCGGAAATGCTCCATGTTAGCTACAATTATTATTACTATTCTCAAAGGAACAGTCCTCACCACCCCCTGAGAAGTGTAGAACACAGTCAGTAACTTGGCTTCCCAGGGTTGAGAAGTCTGCAGAAGCAGGGGCTTAGTAAATGCATTTTGGTTGCAACTGCATATGCAGGAAGAACCCATTGGCCCCCACTACAAAGAAAAGGCTACACTGTGGTCCCACAAAAAGGACCACATTTGTCATCAATGAAAGTAACTTTTTTTTTTTACATCTTTATTGGAGTATAATTGCTTTACAATGATGTGTTAGTTTCTGCTTTATAACAAAGTGAATCAGTTATACATATACATATGTTCCCATATCTCTTCCCTCTTGCG